AATAAATTGGTTTACCTGGGCCAACTGTATGGCCTTAAACACCCAAAAGGAAAGTATAACCAAAGATTAAATGGGCCAATATAACTTTTTAAGAGTCCATATGTATAGCTAAAGGCTACATAACAGGAAACAGTGCCAGACAGGAGATACCTTCTTTTGAGTTGTTGGCCAGGGTGGCCCAAGAAGAGACTCCTAGATAGTAACCCAGCATAGAACTGGGAAAATGAACAGCAGACCCCAATCTTATCTAAAGGAACATTGACAACTGATTGCTGCTAGATGAGGAACAGCTGACCCTCCTAAAACAAAGATCTCTAGATAGGCTGACTAGATTCACCAGATGGACAAGTAGTGGGGAACGGCTGGGGGTGCCGACAACACAGCAGACAGTAGCAGGGATGACAGAGTGTAAGGGCTCTAGTGCGGGGGGGTGCTATCTGGGGAGTGTATAGATGAATATGATTGTGTGGGATGTTCTCTGTGATACACACACACACTTGCTACGCAGCCAAGGATGCTCTTGAACTTCTGATCCTCCGGCCTCCACTTCCCAATTGCTGGGATTAAACATGCACCACCACACCTGTATTTTTACCTTCTCAATTAATCCTTTTGTAAATAACTCTTTGAATTATCCTAATTTTAGTGTGTCCACACTTTAAAGTTGGGGATGTTTTTAAATATTTTATGCCAAAAGAAAGAAAAGTTGCATTTTGTTTTCACACACACACCACACCTCCACAGGCACACCCCTCATATAGTCCACTGCTAGAAAACTTAAGCGTTTGAGGGACTAAGCATCTCACAGCTCCCTTGTGGTCCACATTTTGTAGAATGTGCCATTTACAGAGGGTTGTTCTGTTTATTCATCATCTCTGAAAGAGCAGCCAGCCCCAGGCTCTTGGGCTGTGAGGCTGCTCAGATGCATGACTGAGGGAGACAGCTCACTCTCTTCCTCAACGTGTTCATGATTTGAGTGTCCAAACCTATTGTTCCCACTCCCTCCACAATTAGGGCAAGGCTTCATGGTTGACAGTTGTAGAGGTACGCTGAGATCAACAGACCAGTGGCCCTCAGGCCAGATCCAAGGAGGAAAGTGTCCAGCAAGCAGGATTTAGTTCTGTGGAAGTCTTCAGGGGGAACTCCAGCACAGAGAGAATGGCCTGTGGGTGGTCGTCCTTTGGTTCTCATTCATTTTCAACGTAAGCCAATCTAAAACCCACATGGAAACAAATGTGTTTCGTGTAAAATTATAATACTTCCAGAATGACTGGTATGTGCCAGCAAACTGTGTTAAGACATTTGTGCAAATCCTGAATGAAGTCCCAGCGTCTGCTTACCTGAAACAAGTCCCAAGATATAAAATCAAGTACTTTAAACATAAGCTGTTACTATTTGTAACTATACACATGACTTAGAAGTCTCTGCAAAAGAATAAAATACAGAAATAAACTAAGTGTTGAGTTGCTATGAGACTGCTAATGTCACACATACACCATCAAGTATTCATATTCCAGTGACTCACTGATTGCCCTTATAATAAATGCGCTTATCAACACATTTATATCTAAAATATATATTTTATAATCCTATATATTATGTCCTACACAGAGTTTATAAAACAATGGCTTGATAAGTTTTACCTAACCCAAGTCCCCATCCTTGCTTTGGCAAACACTATCCATTTCCACTGGAATTCAGCAACTCTCTGTCAGTAGCTATGGTCAGGACATGGAGGTGTGACTGTGTACTATGATGCGCCTGCTTGGACGGGAACTTTTCCCTCAAAAGTATTTATTTATGATCAGACTAAAGGAGAAGATAAAGGAAGCCTAGTAGGTTTTTCAGGATTCCAAATGAAGATTACTTTTTTCTCCCCAGCTATAACACCTCGCAGCCATTGCTGTCAGACAAGGACACCAGGAACAGGAAATAAAAGTGCAATGTCACTGGGCTTGAGATGAACTTTTTTTATTTTGTGATAAAAATGCTTTCATATAAATTTCATCTTAAACTACTTTTAGAATGAAACTTTTAAAAGTAAAAACTGTGCACTTTCCTTCTTATTCTTAGGAAGATGCAGTCGTTTTACTGGTTACTGAGTTTCTCATACAAACAGATATATAATATCACTTTTAAGGGAAATGTACACAAGGAAGTTGCCATAGTACCAAACTGTTATCAGTGGGGGTCTCAGGACATACAATGTGTCCTTCCAAATAGTCCCATACATTCAATGCACTGGTTAAGGTCCAAATCCCCAAACCACACACCAACAGAACATTACACCTTTGGTTCTTTTCTATGCAAGACTTATGAACTACCAAGTTTAATAAGATGATGTCATGGACTTGAGCTCACAACGTTCACTAAAATCTTCAACTCATTCTTTCCTTCAAACTTCTCCCTCCCCCACCATCACACAAGTAAAAAAAGAGAAGATGCTTAAAATAAAAAAGAACAAATAAAAAACTATTCTCAAAGGCAGGAGGGAGTCAAAGAAAAGAGGAATTTATATAAAAAATTTAAAGGGATCTATGCATGGCATAAAAGATGTGTCCCATAAAACCTCAGCCTCCGATTCAGAACCCAAATGAGAAAGGGACCGTCCATCTCTCTCTCTCTTTTCTAGACACTATGCAGCTCAAGAGTTCTAAAGTCGAAGGGCTGGGTAAGCTACCTGCCTGGCAGTGCTGTCCTCCTCATCACCGGAGCTGCTGTCTGTGACAACAGCTTCATATTCCTCCCCACAAACCCCAAAGATGCAAGTTAAGGGACCCAAAAAGGAGAAACAGCTTCCCTGTGTTGGGGAAGGAGGAACATGTCACAGACCTGGTTCCTGGATTAGCGGTGGATACTCTTAGGCAGTGGCACTAGAGCTAGAGAAAGGGGAGGTCCACAGACGTCCACGGAGGTCCACCCACACAGGGTGTCCTAATATGGGACTAATTGATAGGTCTAAGGGTAGACAGTCACCGTGTAGAAAAAGAACATGTCTATACATCATGAAAGGGGATGGTAGTATGTTGCCACATGAGAAAATAAAATTGAATGAGCAAACTTTATCTGCCACAGATTGGAGCAGAAAAAACTGTTTTTGTTGATTCAAGGAATTTGGATGGAATTGAAAATCCCCCACCCATTTACAAAGACTGCCATGCCAACAGACACACAGGGTCAAAGACTGAGCAATGAGTGGGGAGCACTTATTTCAATTATCATGGGACTAAAGATCACTACTAAACCATAACAGAACAGGCAATCCATTAACTAATACCACACAAATACCCCAGCAGAACTAATTTTCCAGGTCATGGGTATCATGGCACTAGGTGGAAGTGATGGTGTGGCCATGCAGCCAATTATGAACTGACTGAGGAAGAAGAGGGAAACACTACCCCAAACTTTACAGTTAACTAAAATACTTCCGCTCTTGAGAGTCTGTGAAGTCTTTGAGACCACAGTACAGGAAGCAGATTCGGATGAGGTACAATCATAATCTGAACACAAGGACACTGATGAGAAGTCGGAGCCATCAATATCTGAAGTTGACTCTAGGGAGGAAGAAGTCCCAGTAAGTTTTTATTTAATTACCAAAACAGGAATGTCATGACTGCTTCAAAGGAAAAAGAAGGGCAGGAGAAGCCAGCAGAGGCTGCCTCGCACGAGCTCCAGGAAACCAGGCCCATGCTCCACTTCCTGAAGTTGACCATAGAAAACCCATGTCTTCAGTGATGATCTACTGTGTATACCAGCGACTCAGATCACACAGTGTAGAGGGAAACTGATAAATGGGCCTCTGATCTGAAAAAAAGCTGGGCTCGAAGATGACAGACACCAGGTCCCTTGACCCTAAGGAAGTGCAGCTCTGAACGGCAAGGGTGCACGAGGGATTTTCTTCACTGGGATGTATAAGGAGAGGCTCATGAGCTAAAACTAACTTCATCTGCTGGATGAGTGAGTCCTAAGATTTGATAAATGTGCTTCACAGTGGCAGTCAATGGAGGCCCTGCAGGTGGGCAAACGCTTCTTAACGAGCTAGCTTATCTTTTGGTCATTCCAACATTCATCCACCTTTTTTCCGGTTTACAAAAAAGGGCATTATCATAGTACCTAGGCTTCCAGGGGTAAAACTTTATACTGACTAGGGCAACAAACAGAAGAACATCAATGTAATTCCTCCTGGTGAGGCTTATATGAAACCCCACAAACAGGAAAGAGAATTAAGGTGCAATTCTGAAGGAATCTTCTACACCACCCCCAAATATTTTGCTCCCATTTTCCTTTTAGGAATGATACATGGAGATTGCAACACATGCATTTCCACAGAAACGTACTGTACAGGCCTAGGCTGAGAACCATAACCAAAGTAAACCCTGTGAGACTCCTTAGGATGCTGGGAAGATGGGAACAGGGGGGTGAAGCTGCTTTTCAGGGTAGGAATGATTAAAAGCACAAAGGTCTTGCCTATAATACATGGTGGGACCACAGCCATCGAGAGGTGCGAAAAGGAAAGCACCAGGTGAGGTTGAGACCATTTCCAAGACTGAGAAGATGAAATTGGTCTACTTGGGCAGGATTCGAGGGCACAATTCCCAGTCCGACTCTAGTGTACAATCTCCTCACGGATATAGTAGAAGCCCCCGGGGCTTAAAATGCCAAGCTGCAGGAAATGTCCGGGCTATAAAAGGCATCCATCTTATTCTCCAAATAGAAGAGAGAACCAGAGCCCCAGGGCTTGTGTTCATCTTGCATTCCCATGAACTTGGGCCTGATGGGCAATAGATTGATAGGAGGTGGGTTCTCCCCCCAAACCCCGCAGACACTCAGTGATGCTGAAAACTGCTTCTCACAAAAACATGGAAGTTCCGAGCATGTTCTCTCTCCTGCCTCCAAAAGCTGGTACAGAGTTTCTTCATTTCTCCTCCGGACGACCTTCATTTGTTCTTCAGCAGCACGTAGAATAGGCAGTTCTGTCCACAATGGAGGCAGACTCTTCATGCGTAAACCTGCATGTTGCTGTGTGGTGGCTCAGACATGTGTGTCCCAGGGCCCCGCCGACCTCCTCCAGCACTTCCAGGAGTAGGGCTGGTGGTCACATCTGACCAGTCAGAAGCAGAGTGTGGTGATGAGCTTGACCACTGGTCAGGAGACTCCGGGGATGGTGTCAGGTAGGGATGCTCACCCTGGAGGTGACCACTGTGATTGGGTGTTCGCTCAGCAGCATTTGAGGAAGCATAACTGTGCTGGGAAGGGGGTGTGGGGTACTTGCCCACTGAGGCTGGGAAAGGATGATAGGTTGGAACAATGGTCTGAGCTACCTGCCCATCCTGCTGGGGCATCATAGCAGGGGGAAAAGCCACACTGGGCAAATGGGCCATCTCTGGGATCTGGTACATAGGGGGCAAAGGGCCTGCTACAGGTGGAGGGCAGTTAGACTGCGGCTGGGAAGCCCCAGCTGCCTGGGCAATGCTGCCTTTTGGGATAAGCTGGAAAGTCACAATGGGGGGCAAAGGCTCCCGTTGGGTGGTGATGTGCTTCCCTTCGGGTGGCCTGCTCTGTGGAGCTATGCCAGGGTGGGAACCCTCGGCAGGAGCCAGGACCATGCCAAACATCTCATTGTACTGGGCCTCATTCACATCCATGCGGTGCATCCAGTCTGTTGGAACAGTGACTGGATGCAACCTGCCCGAGCTTCCTGCACTGCCACTGCTTGGGGGGACAATGTGGTGGTGGGACAGCAACTGGCTGACTGAGGGAAGCACTGTGCTAGCTCCAGGAGCCAAAGGCTGCATTTCATGAAGGTTAGAGAAAGACAATGCATGCTGGGCATGCACTGGGGCAGTGGGGGCAGCTGCGGCCAGCATAGGGTTGGGTGAAGCCTGTAAGATTCCAGGGGATGTGATCATGGGAGAAGACGTGGTATCAGAAACATATGTGTGGGGAGACTCTAGCGAGTCCACAGGGGATAAAGTCACTGAGCTCTCAGACAGCTGGACCTTCTCGCTCAGAGACTTCTTCCTCCTGCTTCCCTTGATATCCTTGGCCTCCTTGGCCAGGTTAGGGAGGCTAGTGGGCACAGTGCTCTTGGCGTTGGGCCGTCTAGATTTCTTGCCCATTGGGGTGTGCTTCAGGCTGAGGAAAGACCTGTTGGGCCCACAGAGGACAGGCGAGAGAGCAGAAGCCAGCACAGTGCCAGGGGGGCTCGGTGTCACATTGTACTCATCCAGGAGGCGAACAATGTCATGGTGCATGCGATCCCGAGCCACGTCCCGGGGAAGGCGGTCCATGTGGTCTGTGATGTCCCGATTGGCAAAATGGTCTAACAGGATCTTAGCTGCTTCATAACTTCCCTCCCGGGCAGCAAGAAACAAAGGTGTCTCTTCCTGTAGAAAGACCCAAGAACCACATTTTTAATAATACTCAGAGAACATGAGTATTCTCTCAATTTTTATTTTTTCATATTCTCTTTAGATTTTTTTTTCCTAGGTGCTGTCCCTATGAATTTTTAAATTATTATTTTTTTATTTTATGTGTATGAGCGTTATGCCTGTATGTCTGTAAGTGCACCTATGTCATGCAATGCCCACAGAGGTCAGAAGAGGGCATCGGATCCCCTGGAACTGGAGTTATGGATGGTTGTTATCTGCCATGTGGGTGCTGGGAATCGATCCCAGGTCCTCTGCAAGAGCAGGCAGTGCTCTTAACTACTGAGCTATCTCTCCAGCCCCCCTTATGAAATTTTAATTCAACAGCTATGCTGTGCATCTTCCTATAAACTGAATGCACATCTGTGATTCACGTGTAAATCTCCTCTGCCTTTGAGCCAGAGATGTGCTTAGAAGAGTGCTGCACTTACCGTGAAAAGCTAACAGGGAAAAGAAGTTACAGATCAGAAATGATGGAGGAAACTACAACACGTAAAGAACTTGGAAAATGGGAGAAAGAGTAAAAGACAGAAGGGATGAAACATGCAAGAAAGAACTAAAATACAGGAGAACTAATGAGAGAAGATAAAGGAAGGGAGGGAAGCAGACAGACAACTCAGTAAGGAAAAGCAAACAGGAAAACATTACAGTATCCAAGGACAGAAAGAGAAAAAACTTGGTCACACCAAGTTCTTTTCAGGACAGTGTGATGACTGAACAGGCAGAGGGCTCCATCCCAAACCTGCTCCAGATGAACCCCATATCTGCCTTCAGGCTCTTGGGACCTGGTTCCTGGCCAGGTTCCATAGGTGTCTATGCTTATCTGATGAGAAGCTGGGTGTAGACTGGAAGAGCCTAGTGGACAAGGCGTTACTACAAGTGCCCTCAGGCTCCTCGCTCTCCCCACCTTGTTGTCCTGCATGTCTCGATTGGCCCCATTCTTCAGCAGCAGAAGAGTCGCCTCCACATTATTGACAGCAGCAGCCCAGTGCAGAGCAGATTTTCCTGCAGGGGAAATAATGCTGTAAGTACACAGAGGAGTGGAAGGGGACATTCTACTCCTGGTATAAGGAAAGCATCCTGAGTTTTATAAGGAAACCTGGAACTGCCCAGACAGCAGCAGGAAGCCTAGGAAGCCTAGGAACAGAGTTCTACCTTCCTTTCCCTGGATTCTCAGAATACTTCAGAATAGGTGGACACCTCTAGGTGAATGGTCACTGGCATGTGGTATACATGTCCTCCACATGGCAGAACTTACCCTTCACATATTGAAAATAGTAACTCATTTATTACACACCAAGTGTCTACTTAGGATATTTTACAACCCTCATAGTGAGTCCACTCATAAATTCCCGTATCAAATGCGGTAAGGTTAAGAACATACATAGGTAAAGTTTTCATGGACCTCCTTTGAGGTCCAAGAACCCACACACCCACACCCACACCCACAATCCCTTCTTGCCTTAATCTAGGGACCCCTCCCCCTGCCTCAGTCCTCTCAGTCTACCATATTGAAGGACGGATGAAAAGATGAATTGCCAATGGATTCAGATCTAGAAAGTTCTTTCTCAGAGTTGTGTAACTACTCTCTTCCTTAGAGACATGCTTTGGAGGTAGGACTCCCCAGTCCCTACCGTGGTCATCCACTGCATTCACGTCAGCTTGGCAGTTGATCAGTTCTGCCACCATTCCCTCCACAGCCAGGCGGGCTGCCAGGATCAGGGGGGTGGTACCGTCATTCATTCTGGCATCCAGATCAGTTACTCGGTTGCGGATCAGAATCTAGAAGAGAAGCATAGAAAAGAGAGACCCTTGGATGAGGGAAAAGACTGAAGCTAAGAAAAGAAACACCAGCATCCTGACAGGCTAGACTGTACATTCCAGGAGGGCAGCAAACTCTTACTATCTCTGTGTCCTAGATGCTATGATGGCTAATCATTAAACATGTGTTGAATGAATGAATGAATGAATGAATGAATGAACAAACCAACCAATAATGAGTGGTCAAAACATTCTGACACATGTAAGCTGACACTTTTCTACTCGGGAAGGTGTGAAATGTGGAGAAACAGCACAACTTCAATCATGTGTACAGCCTGAGGTCATCCAGAATGCTTCCAATTTCCTCATCAGGTTAAAATGTAAGGGGCATCAAGGGGACACTGTCAACTCTTGTCCAGAAAACTGCCAATGATCATCTGGAAGCCCACAGACAGGCAGATCTAGAGGAAGCGTTAACACTAATTGAAGGCTTTGGACCAGTTATGAATCCCATCTGATCTGTGCATCTGGGAGGCATCTTTGCACATCAAAATACTGCGGACCAAGAATCAGAAGCCTGTTTTTGACTGAATCCATCTCTGGTCACACATAGCAGGTTAGTTAACTTGCCTCCTTTTCAGTCAAGCATGACTAACCTCTCAAAGAATTACTGAATGAGTTCAATGAGATACTAAGTGCTTTAGTAAAGCTAAAACATTACAGACATATAAAAGTTCTTATTTATTTGTGCATAGGCAGATATGCATGTGTCACAGCACGAATGTGGAGTTCAGAGGATAACCTGTGGGAATAAGTTCTCTCCATCTACCATGTGCATCCTGGGGATTGAACTCAGGTCACTGGACTTGGTGGCAGGTGCAATAATCCACTGAGCCATCTTGTCAGCCCTAAAAGTTCTTCTTATTCAAACCCACTCTACGTTCTTTACCTGGAAGACACCCTGGGCATCTGCTGCCACTGCGGCATGGAGAGGGCAGCGGCCCATGTTGTCCTGAGCATTGGCATCTGCGCCTGCATCCAGGAGGCGCTTGGCAGCATCAGCCCGTGAGTAGCGGGCTGCAAGGTGGAGGGCCATTTCACCAGTCCGGTCTGTCTGGGCCTGAAGGCTGGCACCCTGGTAGACCAAGTCTGTGATGATATTGGCAGAGGAGTCTTCTGCATCTTCATCTTCATCACTCAGATCCGAGCTGCCTCCCCGGAGAGAAGCCAACATCAATGGGGTACAGCCATCTGTAGGAAAGGAAAATCCCAAAGAGCATTGAGAAAGGAGAAGGAAATTAACTCTATTGCTGGAACAGTTCTACCGAGTAAAGTCATGCTTATAGGAAGTGAGTTCCCTGTGGTTTTGCTTGATAATGTCACTTAAATACAGAGTCATGGGAAAGTAGAATTCTCTGAGCTGGGGGCTCTTCTCTAAGCCAAGTATGCTTTCCTGCTCAAATTTAAGTGTGAGTCTATTTTTCACTGGACAACATCTTATATATACAGTATTAATAAAATTGTACACATAAGATATTAACTACATTAGTTCTCTATCCTCTGCTTTGGGACACCATTTTTCCATCCTCCTAAAATCTTACCTATTTAATCAACCTGTTTGTCAATATGCTGCACAGGAAGCAATGTGCAGTTTTTCCCTTTCCTCTGAATTCATAACTTTTTAATAAAAATTTAAATTTCAGTATTGTGTGTGTATGCATGTTATGTGTGTATGGGTATGAATGTGCCATAGCACACATGTAGAAGCCAGAGGACAACTATGTCCTACCTTACATGGGTTCTAGGGATCAAACTTAGGTCATGAGGTTTTCATGACAAGTGCTTTTACCCACGGAGCTATCTCGCTGTCCCTGAGTTCATAAGTTCTGTATGGCTATATTCCTCCCACATTCATTTCCTCAAGCGGACTTAGTGATTTCAGAAGGGGCATGGTCAGGAAACACAGAGACAGCCACACAGAAGCAGAAAGGCTCTGCTGAGTGCAGGGGGAAGGCCCACCATGCTGACCTGGGCCTCGGACATTCACATCTAGCACATCCACCTCCTGCTCTGCCTGTGGAGGAGTAAGAGCCAGAGACGGGGTCCGACGGATGTCTGCAGCTTCAAGATGCTGCTGTGTCCATGGGCGACGATCAATCGGGTCATCTTCTGAGAGCAAAGCCTCGTCTTCGGCCTGGATGAAGAAACAGTCTTCCTTCATCAATCTGACCCCACCATTAGTGCCAGCAAGGGGCAGGGCCAGAGTCTCCCAGCGTCTTTTCAAACCTCTTCTGGCTCTATCATTGACCACCTCAGCTTCCCACCACCTCAGCTGTGGTTCCCACTTGGCTCTGTGCATCATCTGGACAATTCTCGCACCACGCCGTCCCAAACTCCAGGCCCCAGCCCTAAGATGCGACTTGTAGATCCTCAAAGAATCATACTCTCACCTTTGGGTCCCGCCTGCTTCTTCTATCTATATGTAGTTAAATATAGATTCCACATGAGAGAAAATGTGGTATTTTGGCTGTCTTTCAACTGTAAGGTTCTTGAGAAGAGGGAATCAGCCTTGTTCAAGGCTGCACTTAACACAGTATTCATCACAGAGCAAGCACAGAGATTAAAAAAAAATCATGCTAATTTAAAAGCAGCTGCCCTTTACTAAATTCTTAGTGATAGAAAACAGGGAAGGGACATTATAGCAATTCCTGTACTGATTCCTCACAACTGGTAAAGACATTATTATTTCCATTTTATAGATAAAGATAATTAAATACAAACAGGTTTTAAGTAACTGCCATGAAGTAGCAGACTTTTGAAGCTGAGCTCAGTTCTGACCGAAACTAAAGCAATGTGTTTTTATTTGTGTGTTTTGTTTTGGAGACAGGGATATGCTATATAGCTCCAGCTGACCTCAAACTTGAGATTCTCCTGCCTCAGCCTCCTCAAGTGCTGGAATCACATCCAGCTTAAAGCTGTTCTTAACTATCATGCTCTAATAGAAACTAGCCATGAGGGTAAGTCTCCATCTTAGATCAGCATCATCTCAATCTGCCTCTCACGCCACAGGATTTTAGGTTCCTCGGTTTAAGCTGTGGAGCCTTCAAAGTCAATGGCTGGCTTTCCTCACTGTTTAATTCCACCTGTTCTCACCGAAGCACCCAGGGATGTAGTCATAAAGGCATCTGAGTACTCACACCAGCCCTAACCTAACAAACATTCGCGGGTCACTTGATACAGGAGGCGTGCTTGCTTTACTATTTTAAGAGCTCTTATTGAAAAACATAGGTCATGTAAAAGGGCCTTGCTGTTCACAGGACTCCAGAAGAGTCACTGTCTGGGAAAGATACAGATTTGGAATGTGATACATGATGCCTTGACAATTTAGCTCTGCCCAGGCTGGCTTACCTTGGCTTTCTTCGGCTGGGGTCCTTCATCATCTACCCAGTGTTCACTTGTTCCAGAACCAATCAGGTTAGCCTCTGAGGCTTGCACTGAGAGATTTCTGATATGATTATTCGGGGAAGAAACAAGAGTAGAGGTTATGGCTAAACGGATACGGCAGATTTCACCACTGCTTCTGCTTCCACACTCCCAGGCTATCCTCTGACTTCACAGCATCCTGGCCCCAAAGGATGGGCAGTATATTTAATTTTTAAAAATTCCATTATTTATTTATGTGTGTGTGTGTGTGTGTGTGTGTGTGTGTGTGTGTATGACAACGTGCAGAAGATGGTTCTCTCCACATGGGTCCTGGGGCTGGAACCTACGTCATCAGGCTTGGGAGTGGGCGCCTTTAACTGTTAAGCCATCTCACCAGCACCAATGGGCAGTATTTTTTATACAACATTTGTGAGCATTCATCTTTTCCCTTCCCAAAAAAGGATGCTTCAACTCGGAAGCTGAGTGCCACTGTAATAGTGTGTACACACAAAGATGCGCCCAGACTCAGAGACTCAAACAAGCAGTTCAGAGTCGTGGTCAGAGTGACTAATGGCCGGTTTAGAATCTGAAATCGTCATTCTATACAGTGCTCTTCTTTCACCGCTTCTTATCACTGTGAATAATGGCTTATTGGCAAACTGTCTTACTTCAGGCCCACAGCATCCTGTCCCACAGGCTCCCGACGCTTGTGATTGCTTGAGTCCCGACGAAGGGTGAAACCCTCAGGCAGCCAGAGGAAGCCGTGCTTCCGCTTTCGTTTGGCCATGATTACCCCCAGCAGGATGAAGAACAGGATGACGACAATGGCCACAGCAAGGAGGTAGAGAAGCTGAGTGCTTTTTGGAGCCTCGGATTCACCTGCAAGTTCAAAGACAGGGATGGTGCTACATAAACATCAACCTCTTAATGTCAGCAAGGGTGAACCCAGTGATGTCCCTCTCAACCCTTTCCTGTGAACACCAATGCCACTCACTGAAGACAGACACAAGAGGGTACGACAGAGTCCCCTGGATGGCGTGAGAAGCCAGGAGAGCAGCTGCTGCATCTGTGTTCTTGAAGCACTGGTCTGAATCTTGAACACACTGGCGGTTGTCAATTTCCAGAAATACCTTAGAGCTGTGGGGTTTCAAGGGAAAGAGGAAAAGGGGCAATGGTGAGTTGAAATGAAGTTGGGTCTGGCAGGTTTGGTCAGAAAGGCCTATGTGGCCCCTCCTTCCCTCCTTCTGCATCAAGCTTTCCACCTCTGGGATACTGCCTTCAAAAATAATTCCGAAACTATAATCCTTCTAATGCTAAACACTGATTCCCACCTAGGACGGCTTACCTCCTGTATTCTGGCTGACCTAAACCTTCTGACTGAGGCAATGCCTAACAAGGAGAAAGCTGGGGAAGTGCGGACTCAGTGCTCTCCTCTGGTAGGTTCAGTCGTCTGCCAACCACCCAGTAGCCTTCGTGCTGTGATGAAGATATGCCGCAGTGTGCTGGGGCCCTTATTCTTCTGTGTGTCTATACTAGTGTTTCAGCAAGCTGAAGGGCCAAAAACTGTAGGCTACACCAACCAACAGTGGGATGGGAATGACAACAACTGAAGATTACTGTTCTGGTCAGACACAGTGGGAAGAAGGGTCTTGAAAACAAGACAATGAGGAACTCTAGAAAAGTGCCAGATTCCTGAAGACCTCCCTAACACCCACCTCCTACTTGCTCCAGCTCACTTTTTTGGACCCCTCAATCAAGGCAGATCTTTATCCTTAAACATAAGTACTGGGATAAGTTGTGTGCCTTAAATGGAGGGTCGTTCTACTTGTTTAAGCTTGCTGTTTTGATTGATTGGGTGATGACCTGTGCTGTGGTTCACCTTTAAGCTGAGGAACCCGAACCTACCCAGCCACCTCTTGCTCTTGCTCATCAGGAAGCGACCTGCGTGCCATCCTCTGCTTCTTCAAGGCAGCTGGCTTCTCTCCGTAGTAGGGATACACCATGAGGGCGCCCTGTGAGTCTCGTTTAATGCGCAGGTTGGTGTGGAGCAGGGTGCCCAGTGCCCTCAAGAAGCTACGAGAATCCTGCAGCAGCTGTTCAGGGGGCAGGAGCACCACAATAACCAGGGTGCCCTCCGCCAGGTTCTCGGGCTGGTCCGCAGCACAGTCCAGACCATCCCAGCCACACTCCTCGCTGTTGCATCCCTGGTCACAGTGGTTGTCTTTGAAGTGGTCTGCACAGTATTTGTCATACCTGGGCGGGGGAGAAAAAGAATAGGGAAAGGGGCTCAGAAGAGACCGGGACTCTACTTACTTTTCCACTGGGAATGACTGTGTGCTTTTCTTATCTATCTTTCGTGGTTTCAATGCGCAGAAAAGATTTTTTGACTCATTCACCCCAACATGGTCACTCGACACTATCACTGTAAGGGTCTAGTGGGTCCCACATAGTCGACAGCCTTGTGAAGTCAGATTTTTAGACGGGGCTACATACTTGAAACCAAAAGCAACTTAGTTATCCGCTGCTCTCTTGGGTGAAAGGCACCCAAGGTCACTCCAGAACCTTGGACTTTCAGGCAGTGCCGTATGGAGAGGTGTGCCAATATAGCCCATTTCTTTCTCTTTCAGGAGTGAGGACAACTCCAGAAGGGAAGGACCAGACGGAGGCACAATACCGGATATGGGATACAACTGTACAGTCTCTTACAAATGTCAAGAAAACTCTGGGCATGGTGGTGCATGCCTATTAATCCCAGCACTCAGGGAGTAGAAGTTAGGAGGATCAGGAGTTCAAGGCCAGCCTGTGCTATGTGAGATCCTGTCTCAAAGCAAACACACACACATGCACATAATAGCAGCAACAACTAAAATGGCAGGCAAAAGTCTCAGAACCCCCAAATGTAAATGAAACACAAACCAGTCACCTACCCTCCTTTCTCCCTGTCCCCAACCCCCCTGATATTTGTACCACTGGTCAAAAAATGTGTGCTTTTGCAAGTTCTTTAACCGTCCAGGAAAGATCATTAAAGCCTATGCCTCAAGGCTCTTGAGAATTAACTAGGGTAAAATCAGATGCAATGGTTAATAGGGAAGTTACTATATAGACCATCAAACATCCCGTATCTGTGACACTGATACCCAGGAGAGCTAAGTTTGTGCTTCCAAGTTAATCTAGATGGAAAAAAACTAGTCGTAAGGAAAGGAACAAGTGAAGAGAGAGAGAGGTACAGACCTGTCCATCCATCCTGCGCAGGTTAGGCGGGAGGCTGCCCAAGAGTGGCTACACCACTTCCAAAGTTATTTCCCCCAGGAAGTCTGGAGAGCAGGTGGGAAGGCAGAGATAGGCAGAGAGAGGGGGTGGTTATGCAACGAGCAATCCCGGCCCTCTGTCAGCAAGGGAGAGCTCAGAGCAGCATGTGATGGGACAAGGCTGGCACATCTGAAAAGTGGAGGCGGCCTGGGCTGAAGCACTGGAGGGGTTAGGAGCAAGAACGAGAAGCTGAAGTGTGTTAGTGACATCCCCTCGGCTTCCGGAGGCCCGGAGCTCTTACTTGCAGGTCTTACTGCTCCCCTGGCATTCGAAATTGTCAAACAGGCACTCTGCAGTGTTGCACAGCTCGTCACACTCGTTGTTGATGTACTCCCAGCAGCGAAGCGATGACGTGCAGTTGGCCCAGGGGTCCTCCATGGTGAGGGAACAGTCCCCTCCATCCCATTGGCAGGCGTGGCTGTTGCAGGCCTCATCACAGACGCCATCTCGAGCCTTGTCGGCACAGTACTGACTCAGACAGGTGGCAGGAGCGGCACTGCCGGGGACTGTGGAGAGCTCACAGTGGCTACCCCAGAATGGTGGGGAGCAGCGGCAGGAGTAGTAAGGAGGCTGGCGCTGAGGGTAGCAGCTGCCCCCGTGCTGGCAGGGGCTGCTGGCACAGCCTGAGTCGCAGTCCTGAGGGTTGGGGCAGAAACAGCGGGGGCCAGAGGCAGTCTGCACACAGTGCTCCCCTCTCCTACACTTCACTTGGCCACAGCTGCTCTGGCATCTTGCCCCGGAGAAGCCCTGGAAGAATTGGGGAAGAAATGAGGAGTGCAGGTGGACTTGAGGGCTGTTCCCCCTCTCCCTCTCCTCCCCCTCTTTAACATACCCCTAGGAGATAAAGACACTTGGTTAAGATCCTGTGCAGCCTCCTAGCCCAAGGTCTAGAAAATGACCTCCTCAAATCAGCCAACAGGTGAGGGGCTTGATGGTCCCATGGGACAAATATGGCATTCCCTCAACTAAGAGCTCACTTTTAGGGGCTGGAGATATGGCTCAGTGGTTAAGAACACTGGTTGCTCTTGAAGACGACATGGGTTTGGTTTCCAGCACTCATATGGTGGCTAACACCTGTCAGTAACTCCAGTTCCAGGGAATCCATCACCACCCTCTTTGGGCCTTCGAGAGCACTGCACACATGTGGTGCATTTACGTATATGCAGGTAAAATTCATACACATAAAATAAAAATAAATAGCAAAAAAGAAAAAGAGAGCTCAGTTCTAGAAATGAAGCCCCCAGGTGGGAGGGGTCAGTGACCCTGTATGGACAGCCCCTTCTCCAGGTATCATTAGGTCATTCCTGTAATAGCTTTAAGGTGTGGAAAGGTCCTACGGACGTTTGGAATCTGTGGAAGACTGCCATTTTGTTCTTCTACTTCTTACTTGGCCCAAGCTAAGGTTACTGGACAGGCATCCTCTTGATGATACCGCATACACAATGATCTCTATTTAAGGGAACTTTTAGCCTTTGGCAGTGGCAAAAAACAAAAAGAAAAAAAAGTATGTACAGCAAAATTCAGCTTCTTTCCTAGTTTGAGAAGAATTTACTGTCAAATGGTTCCTGCTAATGAACAGGAACAGACCAGTGCCTCACTCAGCCTGGCTGGGGGGCTGCTGAAGCTCAGGCCTGGGAAGCCAGAGGCAGTGGCCCTATTTCAGAGGGCACTGCAGCACTTGGAGGTTTCCCTTAACGCTCTGAAGGCCGACTGTCACAACTGGGAAGCTTACAGTTTCTGTGTGTGCTGAAACAACTTTACACAGGAAAAGCCCCAGTGCTGTGTTCTGACCTGAGCTAACACTGGCATACTCTCCCACCAGGCAACTTGAAAACCCAGGTAGAATCTCAGCTTTGTCCCAGAGCATATGGAAGACAGAGTGCCCCTTAAATCAGCTGCAGGTCACTTACTGGGGGACAACGACAAATGAAGCCATCAGGCATGTTGCTGGCCACAGCACAAGTCCCTCCATTCAGGCAAGGCATTTGAGGGCACACATCCACGAAGGTTTCACAGTGGCGGCCTAAAGGCAGAAGATAAAAAAACAGTTTTAGAAGGCTGAAATAGTAACTTTGAGCCACTAAACATCACCCACTGGGATGGGAGCCAGGCTCAGATGCAGCAAGGGGCGAGAGAGGCCAGTACTAAGTCTACAGGGCTGTGAGAAGACGCTTGATGGACCTCAACATGAAAAGCCATGGCTGTTTGGAGTCCCTCACCTGCCTGGCCAGTGCAATGAACACACATGGAATCCACCCAAAACTTGACTCCCACAGGGACAGACACAAAAGTGACTCCAATTCCATTCAAAACAAAAACAAAACAAAAAAACAAAGGAAACTTACATCTTCGCTTTTGTAAGCTGGGGGATATGGTCAACAACTTTTTGTTCACACTTACTTCACAGGAGAAGCTACATCAGGCCAGCGTATCTAACTAGATGCTGGTAGTTTAGGGAGAATTTTCATCCGGGTTGTCTCTTTGTAGTTATTTTGGATTTTGTGTAGTCTGACTGGTACAGCTTTAAAATGAACCTGAGTTTTCCCAGAGTTAATCTCCTTTAGATCCAGTTCTAAACCAAAGAACATCTGCCTGCGGCTGTTCCCTAACAAACTGAACTGGCAGCTGGAACCAGGGAGGAGGACTCAGCTGACGCCTTACGGCAAAGGATCCAGAGATGGGCTCCATCTGGCCTCTGGTCATGTGGGAGTTAAAAGAGTTAAAATAGCAGTATTTCTGGCCCTTCAGAATTAAGAAGCTAGAGTTGGAAATGCCTGACTTCTCTAATCATAGCAGCAGACATTGGTGAGAGCAGCCAGCACCAGGACACAGGGACCTGGAGCTCCTCACTGTTCATCTTGGTGATGGCATCTCCCACAATGCAGCCCAGGGGTCATGTTCATCCATAGGTGTGGACATGAACAGACAGTGTTTCCTGGCTGTGGGAGACTCATTCAAAGTGTCTCCATAACTCTTTCCTGACTCTCCCTTTGTAAATGCCGGCCAGTGTTTCCAGAATCCTTGGAGGCAGCGAGAGAAAACAGGAGCCCACACTGCCCCAAGAGGAACGTCAGCCAGAATGAACTGTTTGTCTTTGAGTACTACCGTGGCCAGGCAGCTTCCATATTGTAGAACTCCTCCCATTCTTCATAAAATTCCAAGATTCTTAAAGGTAGCATATACTTAAAATTGGAATGACGGCTGGGCGTGGTGACACATGCCTTTAATCCCAGCACTTGGGAGGCAGAGATCTCTGTGAGATAGAGGCTAGCTTGGTCTATACAGCAAATTCTAGGCCAGAAGGAGCTTCAGGGAGACCCTTTTTCAATAAATAAATAAATAAATAAATAAATAAATGAATGAATGAATCGAAAGGAAGGAGGGAGGAAGAAAACACTGAAGGGAAAGAACACAGGCCAGACACGGGCTTAGTTTAGTGGTACCCAGCTGGCCAGATGATTAGTAAATAAGATGATCGCATGGATCAGACTTTCAGAAAGAACACACCCAGCATAAGAAAGACAACTACAGACTCCAAAATATACAAGGCAGATTGCAGATCTGATGACCCTGGCACATCTAGATACAAGCAACTATTTCAGGCCCTGAAAGCCACCACAATGCCCTTCTCCAGAAGTGATCAAGAAGTACCTGAGACACAGCCCCCACTCTGAGGCAGAGTCAGCCACTTATGCCTGCCATGAAGAACAGGCTAGGCTTGTGGCCAGGCCTCAGCTAAGCAGGGACGGCTGTGGGCACTGCAGCTCTCCATCTGTACTGAATCAGATGCTTTTTGGACCTGGTCCTCTAAGTGTTCTAGCAGGTGCTAAGCTGCTCCAGGTCCCAGAGTTAGAACAATGACAGTGACAGAAACTGCAAAGTAACTTGTCATCACTTGTCAAAAAAGACAGAGTGGTGCAACCAGAGCCAGGTGGAAGGCTCCCGAAAACAAAGGCTCTGTCTTCCTCAGATAAGCAACTGGTGGGTATATAATGTGGGGCAATGAGACAGCACCCAGCATGATTGTGCTTAATGTTTTTGGACAGTGTGTTTAATGGGTAAAGACAGCAGATATAACCTGTGCACTTTACCTCAATCAAAAAATGCTATTTCGCCCAACAACTGCCAACATATTATTTTTCATATTCTTGCCATAGCATGATATAATTAATGCATCACAAAACAGAGTCTCTCAAACTGGGTATAGTGGTATGAACCTTTAGTTCCAGCACTTGGGAGGCAAAGGCAGGTGGGATCTCTGTGAAATCAAGGTCAGCCTGGTTTACATAGCAAGTGTCAGGCCATCTGGAGCTACAGGGAGACCCTGTCTCTAAAGAACAACAAAAAAAAGTCTTTTCAGGAAAAGGTAGAAACTGTTTATAACATCCACAGTATATAGACCTAAGGACTGGGCCCTTAACCTAAGCTGGTCTTGGCTTTCTGTAGGGAAAGCTCCACTTGTGGCTTGGAGGAGGCATGTATGGCTTGGTCTGCTCACTGAAACCTTCTGTGGAACCGAATGTTGGGAACTGAGAGGTTCTCACCGGTGAAGGCCCTGCGGCAGACACACTGGTAGTCATTGGTGAGCTGAATGCAGTCCAGGCTGCCCTCGGAGCTGCAGGGGCTGGACAGGCATTCGTTGATGTCCCCCTCACAGCGCTCCCCAGCAAACCCGGGCAAGCAGCGACAACTGTAGCCCCCGATTCGGTCCACACACTGGCCACCATTAAGACAATGGGGGCCTCCGGCACAGTCATCAATGTTCTCTTCACAAAGCAATCCTGGAGGAGAGAGAAGAGATATAGAATGATGAACATCTCCAGAGCACTGTTCCTCAGCAAGGGACAACCACCCTCATAGGACTTCAGAAATCAGGTAGCCTACATTCCTCAATCTACGGTGGGATCTCTTATCTGGGCAAGGCAAAACACACTTTGGGTCCATCCAGTTGCCACCATCCTGGTGAGGAGCCTAAGAAGAGAGTGCACTAGCATTCACGTGTTCTCCCCATGACTCAAGGATGAAGAAGAAGACTGAGGAGTAGGAATCTCTATCTGTCCCACCTCAAGTAGGGGGCCAAAGCTCAAGAGAGAATCAGAAGTCTTCAATAAAAATATAAAAAGAGCTCAAAAATGAACATAATTTTGTAAATATTTAGATTATAACTACACAAAAATATGGTAAGAATTGAAACTAGATTAAAAAAATTTTTTTTATGTGTATGGGTATTTTGCTTGCAATGTATGTAAGTGTACCACGTGCATGTAATGCCCATAGAAGCCAGAAGAGAGTGTCGGAGCCCCTGGAACTAGAGTTACAGATGGCTGTTAGCCACCATGTAGGTGCTGGGAACTGGACCTGGGTCCTGTGCAAAGGCATCAGTGCTCTTAATCACTGAGTCATCTCTCCAGCTCTGGGACTAGATTTTAAGCGATAAATATTTTGTTTTATAATCACCATTGTTTTTTTCCTTTAGAATAAGTACAGTAATGTTTTTGAATTTAAAAAACAGTGGAAATATCTTGTGGAGAATTCAAAGATTATTCTAGTTAAACAATGAACTGCAGACATAAATAAATCATCTAGTACAAATATCTGCAAACATTTTTTAGAAAAACCACAGCAGTGACTATTTCACAAAAGACTTTTATTTTGGAGACAGGCTCCCCCCATAGCCCCAATTGGCCTAGAATTTGCTGTGTAGACCAGGATCTCAGAGATCCGCCTGCCTCTACCTCCCAAGTTCTGGAATTAAAGGCATGCACCACTATGCCCAGCTTAAGCCTCCAATTTTAAAAGGTCAAAGAAAATATTCCTATAGCCCTGCTGCTTGCATTTTCAAGAGTGCAAGACCTTAGCTGAAGCAGAGCCTAAAAGGGAAAAGAAAGAACTTCTGCATGGTAAGCCTCTATTTCCAAAGACAGGATTCTCAAGGGCCATCTTAACAAGAGTGTGCTGCCCTAGGTGAAACTTTTGAGAGACACAAACGGAGATTTGAACAAATGGAAAGGCACCACAGGCGGGGAAGACTCCTCACAATAAAGACATAGGTATTCCCTACAGAAATTCACAAATTTAATGTGACTTCCATAAAAGATGCCAGCAATATTTTTAAGGGACAAACTGATTCTAAAACTATATAGAAAAACAAATCATAAGGCAGGAAAACATGAAGATTCCTTCTTAATTAAAACAAAGTTGCTGGTGAGTTAATAGGACACAAAGAACAACAAAGACAATCTCTACCAACACCCAAGCACACATAGGACTTTAGAATTTGATAAAAGCACCATCTCAAATCATTGTATGAAACATCAAATATGGGCCTGGAGAGATGGCTCAGCAGTTAAGAGCACTATCTGCTCTTGCAGAAGAACTGGGTTCAAGTCCCAGCACCCACATGGCAGCTGACAACTGTCTATAACTCCAGTTCTAGGGGATCCAGCGCTCTCTTCTGGCCTCCATAGGTACTGCACAACATGAGTGCAGTTACATACATTCAGGCATAATGCTCATACACATAAAATAAAAATTAAAAAAAAACATCAAATATTTCATGGCCATATGAGAAAAGTACTCCAGTGGTCTAGTAATTGATGAAATATGGAAGAATTCCTTTAGAACCTCAGTTCACAGAGGTAATGCAAAACATAACTTATATGTGAGAAGCCATAAAAAAGATAGGCAAATTCAATGTGATTAAAAATAATTTGCATGAAAAAACCACCACAAAAAAAATCTAAAAGATCAAACCCCAATATCCTGGGAAAGTATGTGCATCATACATCACAGACAGATACTTTCTGTAAATATTAAGAATCAACACTATAATAGAGAAAAGTGACAGAGATGGATCTTAGGAACAGGAGAGGCAGATGACTTCCTGGAGACCGTGCTTAACTGCACTGAGAAGAAAGCTTCGGTAGGCTGAGATCTTATAACTCGCACAGCCGATTAAAATTACAACTGCACATAATATCCCACCCAACAATTCCATTTCTGAAAAATACACTTACATGCAATCAAGGAAAACTAGTGCCTATGACTGGAGCACTGGTTAAGCAAAAATATATAACATCCATAAAGGGGGAATTCTGATGCTACGACAGTATCGAGGAAGTTCAATATTGTTAATGTGAAAAATACTCCAATTAGGTAAAAAGGTCAAGAGCAAAACAATGTCTCTAATATACCTTCAGAGTTGAAGGGGGGATGAAAAACTATCTCTGTATTTGGCTCCCAAGTACATAAAGAAAATTTGAAGGGTAACAATTTTACCACTCCAGTGAGACACATAAGACCAAAAGTGCTGACATCTTCATGGAGAAGGAGCACTCAGTGTGTGAGGGGCTGGACGTGCTAGGAATTCATCCTTTACTGTATTTTTTATGATATGGATACATTCCTGTCTATGTCTTCATGCATATATTGCCTTATTAGCTATTCACATATTAAACTGGAAACGAGAAAGCGGAAGTAGAAAAAAACAGTACGTGCTCCCAATCTCACAGGATATTTGTCATTTGGGACCATGAATAAATCCACATGAATGGGACCACCAGTAACAGACTATCAAGTGAGAGCGAACTCATCCTCAGCCTGAAGTAAATTGCAGGGGTGGGCAAAGCTGTTATAGTTAGCCTGTACACCGAAACTGGAGGTGTACCCAGGATAAGATCCAAAGTGCAGGAGCATAGTACTAAAAACAAACATTGAGGCAACTCTCCAATGGTGTCAGAACTCAAGGCTCCTGGAATATTCATAAATAGCTGGCTAGGTTAAGCCAGGATGAATACATACTGTTCCACATAACTAAAGCACACAGGTGTAGTTCAATGACTACTAAAGTAAGGTAAGCTCAGAGATCCACACTTACATACATTTTGATTAGAGCACAAAAGATAATCTTGGAAACATCAAAAGGGAAGCAATATGTTACATATAAGAGAACATTAGTAAGGTCAATAGCTAATTGTTCATTAAAAACACTAGGAGCCCCAAATCAGTGAGATGAGAGCAGAAAATGTCAATAGTAATAGTAACTATTATTCTAAGCTGCTATTAAGAAGTATTCAGAAAAGGTACAAACTTTGTTGCCTTATGAAATGATCCATTCTGGGACTGCACATGCCTAACCAGCCAAGTTTGTGGTATCGTACAACATTCATGCACCCTCCTAGACTCCCAGCCTCCAGTGACAGATGAAGACTAGTATGGTTTCTAACCCACGCTGTGAGAGGCAGCAACTGATGGATGCCACCTCCAGATGGAGTGAGAGCTGCACGGCCCTGTAAGTCTGTCTATTCACCTTTCCTGTGGAAGCCTTGCAGACTCAAGTGTTTTAGGCTACTTACCAAAAATACAGAGAAAGGGAGCCCAACACCTATCAGAGTCAAGTGATAAAGCAGCAAACACCCAAAAAAATTCCCAAACAAAGCCGCTATTGCGTTATTTGAGACTTCAGAATATGTAATTAGATATAACCAAAATTACAGCTTGTCCTAACCAATACCATTATTTAAAAGAATTAATTAGCCAGGCATGGCAGTGTATGACTACAGTGAGTTTAAGGCTGGAGCTACCTGACACTCTGTCTCAAAATGGAGGCGGGGGTGGGAGAGAAAGAATATGAGTTAATATGGATTCCAAAGGAGAAGACAGAATTAATTTAGTTCATACCTTATGCATATAGTTTGATTAATGTTGGATGTTTTAAAGTATAAAAATAGACCGTGTCTCAAAAAAATGAATGAATTATAGAGTGATAAACCAGTAATGAACTGGAATGGACTTTGACTTTTCTTTTGAACATGGATTTCTAGAAGAGGAAACAACTTTCCTTCCCATATAACAAACCTTAAATAGTTAAGAGTTGATTCTCCTTAGTTTTCTCTTCCCCTTTAACCCCTCTCTCCAGGAATGACCCTGTTAGAGGGACATTTTTCTTTGATCTCTAGAAAGAAAAATTATCCAAATTCACTGGCACAAAGGTCTAAGACAATAAATATGAAACCCCAGAAACTCTTCCTGCCTGGTGCCGACAGTAAACTTCCCACTGCTGTAGATGGCCTTTCACAGACTTTTCACAAGGCTACTCAGAACCCTCACAACTAAGATCTCTTCTAAAAAGTAAAACTCAAAGCTCCTTCCAGGAGCTGGTTTGGAGACAGTGGCAATACCCAGAGCAGAATGAAGGTTCTCCCATCCACAGGCTAGGGCGACTCCATTAACCTACGCTAATTAGGGAAGCTCAGCCTTCCGCCACCAGCCTCCTCCCTGGGATTAGGACACTAACCAAACATTTTCATTTCATTCACTCCCCTCATCTTGTGAATACAAGACTTGGCTAGTTTAAAACAGTACAAGAGCAGGTATGTGTGAATTACTTCTCTTCAGGAGGCTATTAGCTGCCTTCACTTGAAACACCAAGGAATCTTGGTCAGGCTAATTTTTTTTTTTTGCAGTGTCCTATCAGCTGTACATTCTGTGCTTTCTGGAGCATGAGATATCAAACAACCAAACAGAATGGAGAACATCAATCAAAGCTGGCGGGAGACGAGAGCATACAGAAGAATGGAGATGTGAATGCTGGTAACAAAGTTCCTCTTACTGTCTAATTTTTTACATCACTTCAGCACTGAGAATGCATTTACAGGTGAGGGAACGGCCTGGGTGGGAGGGTAAGGCTGACTGCATACCCCGAGTGCCAGGTGGGCATGAGCACTTGAAGTGGTTCACAAGGTCGATGCAGGTCCCTCCATTCTGGCACGGCTGGTTCTGACACTCATCCACTTCATACTCACAGTTGACACCTTGATACCCTGGAACACACTGGCGGGGAGAAGGACAAGAAGTATTGGTTCGCTACTGGAAATACCACATGAGCAAATGAGATCATGAGTGTTCCTGTACCTCGGCCCCCATTCCACTCAGCAGCTCTGTGCCTTTCTATAATCATCAGTCTCTGCTAGCAACCTTGTGCAGGGTCAACTTCTAGCTCACAAGCATTTACTGATTCCTTTTATAGCCAAAAAGCCACTTTAAAAGGAAGGCCAAGATGGAATGTTGTCAGGGTTATTTCCATATGACTCCTGTCAAAACTTCTGTGTAAACTATGCAGTCCCTCCTATGTGACGAGGACCCTAAGACTCAATCAGCATGTAAAGTTTGAGACTGGCACTGGCAGGCTTTTGAGTTAATAAGATTCTGGTCTGCTATGAAACAAACAACCCAGGTAACAGCAGAGAAATCATTTTTTTCCTGTTGCTTGGTGGTCTGAATTGGAATTAAGTTCATGTCTCTGGTGTTTTGTTAACATCTGATTCTAACCTTTATCAGTCCAGACATTAAAAAGACATATACCTAAATATTATACACTGTAACATTTAGCGTGGTGCTATGGCAAAACAGCTCAAGCAACACTTTTTTTTTTAAAGAAAATTATTAGTTCACTGAGCAACAAGTGTGTGTAAAGTGGCCACGGGGCAAAGGGGTGACTCCTTCGAGTAACTTCGCCTATCTTGGTCACCGTTCAAGAAGTACCAGGGACTAATGTGCTAGGTTGGTCTAATGGTCCCCAATATTGAGAGCAAACCTGTTAAGGGGGGGACAGTTCCAGACCTCTTCTTACCTGATCTATGCTAAAGTATTGCATATCATGGTACAGGGGGAAAAAGGCTACGATGGGGCTGGTAAAAATCTATAATCTGCAAGACACTGAACTCAGTGTTTGTTACAACTGCATAATCTCCCAGGAGTCCTCTGAGCTCAGTTCACTCTTCCTCACCTCACATCTGTATCCTCCGATGAAGTCGCTGCAGGTGGCACCATGTTGGCATGGATTGGAGGCACACTCATCAAGCTGGTCTTCACAGTAGCTCCCCGTGTAGCCCAGCGGGCACTGGCAGTGATGAGTGTTACCAGCATTGATACAGATGCCCGAGTGCTGACACAAGTGCTCCTCGGGCACGCCTGGGAAACCAGGTGGAGAAAGACGTATTAGAGAAGAGCACATGACACACACCAGGTCAAAAGGATGAGCAAGTGAGCCCCGCCAGTGCAGGCTGGTTGAGATTTTCCTTATTCTCAGATTTCATTCCTGGCTAGTTCTTTATGACCCTCAGGACTTGATCTGCATTAAAAAAATAATCATGTTCTGAAAGGAGAATGTGTTTTAATTTCATTCTAAGCACCTTTGTGGGATGTCTAAACATGTCCTCTACCCTTTCTTCAGTCTTGCCCATTGAGGGCTATCCATCCTCTCTTATCACACATCAGTGATGCTATCCGCCCTTAGGTACCACTGGCCAGCCAACATGTCAGTGCCTGACCCTCAGGGGCACAGCTCACCTTTCTGGAAGGCTGCTAGTTTACAGGACACGTTGAGCACGTCACAGTATGCACCATCCCATCCAGGTGGACAAAGGCACAGGGACTTTGCCTTCTCCTGAACACAAGTACCTTTGTTTTTGCATGGAGACCGGCTGCAGAGGTTCACCAGGGTCTGAGGCAGAGGCAAGGGTGCACATGCGTCAAAATCCAAATACCAGAAATGAAGAGAGTAAGTTACAATGTATTGCAAGAAATCAAAGGAAAGGACTCTAATTTGAAAAAGAAAGGAAAGCCTTCAATGAGGCCTTAAACGAGGCCGTGCCCTGGATGCTGCTATTATCTGTGGTCTTATCTGTCTCACTTGTGCAACTTATGAAGCTCTTACCCAAGAAGTCTAACAATTCTAAACTCAAGTTGATTATTCTCAATGCTCTAGACATGAATACATGAACATACCCTGCCCACAGGGAAGATCGGTAAACAATCTAAAGTCCAGTCATAAACCTAGGCTGTCAAAGAATGTACTGTGAAAATCAGGTTTTTGAAAAACACGAGGCAGAGAGGAAGGCTGCATTCCTGAGAGAGCTTGCTGGCTGGAAGGAGGCCCGTGGAGGGCGGGAAGAGGACGCCATCATCACCACCATCAGCATTTGCCATCTACATGAGTAGGGGAAGCAGCAGCCAGGAGAACGCGCTCCCGAGCACAGAAGCTGCTCAACAGGTGGAAGCGGCCGCTTCCTTGTCCCACACAACCAGTGCCTTCCCAAGTACACCCACCAGTCAAGTTAACTCTTGCCGCTTATTCCTAAGTTCCCTTACTATTACTGAAGAGGTAAAATGGCATAAAATTAAACAGCGCCACTTGCCATGTGCTATATGACCTAGGAAAGTCTACATATTGCCCTTTGGGGGAGGGGGTCTGTTTCTCGTCTATGCACTGAAAGGTTAGATTAGTCACATATGAGGACTCCTTCCATCCTAAGATTACATGAAAATTTATATATTTGAATTTTAAAGATACGTAGTTTGGTTATGACAAGGTTAGAACATTGCAAAAAACATGATCATTACTAATTTACCTGCTAGTTGTTGAACCTCACCTTTACAGATTTTGATTATTCTGTCCTAATAGTGTTTGAAAATGAAACATCCCCCGCAGGTTCATGTATTGAGGGTGTGGTCCCCATATGGTGACACTATTTTGGGAGGTTTAAAAAACCCTAGGAGGTGGGTCAAGTTGGGAAAGTGGGTCACTGAGGGCATGTTTGGGGCGCTACCTCTTGTTCCTGGCCCCTTTCTCTGCTTCATCACTGCCATGAGGTGAGGAGACTTCCTGTACTGATTCCTGCTGCTGCCACACTCAGCCTCAGGCCCAGAAACAAGGAACCCACTACGGCCTGAAACCTCTGGACTGTGAAACTCTGAAACTGTGAGCCCAAGTAAGTGTGCTTGTTTCTCTTAGTACCTGTAACAGAACCAGAAACTAACACGTTGCTCTCTCTGAGCTTCAAAGAGGTCTATGTGCTTACGGTTATGTGTGTTTTTCTTTAGTTCTTGGCCAGTCTCTTGAAACAATCTTAGGTTTGTTAATCCATTTCACATACATTGCTGGAGTCACCAGTTTGGAATCTTCAGCTATTAAGAAAATGGCCCAGATTCGTCTCAGGGACCATCTGAGATTTAGAATAGTCTCTTTTAGACAGAGCTCATTTCTGCCTAGGAAGGAACTAGATGTAACGCTCGGCTACTGTGCAAGAGCTGAGTGAGTGGGAGGAAGCAAATGCAAATTACCTGACAGTTTTTCCCAGTGTAGCCCAAGGGGCATGTGCAGCGGTAGGTACCCAGGCCATCAACGCACGTCCCCTCATTCAGGCATGGGTGAGAGTTGCACTCATTGATATCGTGGAGACAGAAGGGACCAGTGAAGCCCACAGGGCACAAGCAAGAGAAGGAGTTGATCCCATCGACACATGTTCCACCATTGAAACAGGAGCTGAGGAGCAGACAGGAGGTAACATCAGTGACATGGCTGGGCCTGATACTTACTGACTGTGACTTCTAGAATCAATGATGTTATGGAGCAAACACCTCTGAGCATCCATGTGCCCAAGAAGTTTTACTTTCTTCTAAGCTAGATCAGGGTTCGGAAGCCCCAAGTGTCAACTTCCTTTCCACTACCCAAGTCTTAGGAGTCTTAGGAGTCTTATTTAAACGTCAGGGCTTACTCTAGAGTCCAAGAGAAAATGAAGTTTTCCAGGTTTTATCCACTGTTTTGTGGTTTTCTACATAGCATATTTTATCATTCAGTCAAACTACTCTATAAGAAACGTTGCTCTTAAATAGCTTTTCCCTCTAGACTTCCCGAGGAGACTAAACATGCTGCTAATGTAATCAAAATATGTGAAACAAACTCCCAGAAAGTACTCAAAGAGGTAACAAGCCTGGAGAGAAATAGAAATCTTTAGGTCAACTGTCAATTGAAATGAACAAGAGACCAAGGGGAAAACAGAACAGAATTAAGAGCTTGCTCTGTTCCGCAGCAAGAAATAAGTGATGGTCCATACTTGGAGTTACCAATGGTTGTTAGCCACCATGTAGGTCCTGGGAACTGAACCCAGAGCCTCTGGAAGGACAGCTAGTGCTCTTAACCACTGAGCCATCTTTCTAGTCTACTACATGCCTTTCAAAAACTGAGCAATAAGATAGGATTGTGGAGTGGGACCCAAGTGGTAGCCTCATCCCTGTCCTACAGTCCCAGCATGAAGGTTTCTCTCTATTTCTTTCCCCTTAAGACGCTGCCGGCCAGGTGCACGGCTGCTCACCTCTCGGTGCACTCGTCAATGTTGTTTTCGCAGTGCACGCCATCGAACCCCGACGGGCACTTGCAGGTGTAACTGTTGACGTAGTCGGAGCAGGTCCCTCCGTTCTTACAGGGCTCACTCAGACACTCATTCATGTCTGTCTGGCACTTATCTCCAATGAAACCAGGAAGGCACAGGCAGGAGAAAGTGTTCACTCCATCCATACAGGAACCTCCATTCTGGCAAGGATCTGAGGCATTCCAAAAGCATGAGCGCTCAGAACAGCAGCATTGGTTTAATCTTAAACTTGTAAAGGTAACAACTTGGCAGCACAATTCCAACTTTTATACTTGACTTCTTTACATTTATTTTACCAGGACTCTCCAGATATGAAAGCAAATTCAGCTACACTTGCCTGATATTTTTGTTCTGTTTAATATGTGGGATAAACGTAATCTACAGTATCACCATTTTATAAAAGTAATAGAGTCATAAACTTGCATTGGTCCTCTATATTCCTGCAAATCAATTATGTGGCTTAACACACAGGTCATCAGGAATACTAAGATTTTTTTCAGCAGGTGCTTGTGGGGATTGTGGGGTGGGCGTTGACAGTCTATGTATTCATTCTGTTCCAGAAACATTATAGGAATCAATCACCTCCCCATGCTGCTCTGTCATCTTATTTCTTTTTTGAGTGTTAAACAGCCTCAGGAGACAAGGTGTTTTTAAAACTATTTTACAATCACATACTTAATCTTAGAACAGTTCCACTCACAGCAATGTCAATCAACTTGGAACCATGATCATGCCAAGGCCCTCCACAATACAGCAATAAAACCATGATATGGCTACTCCTCCAAAGGACCTTAAATTCTAGTTGCAAAACAGTTATAAACATAAAATTAAAACTAAGCATTGAACTAAAAGGTAAAGTGAGTCCTATTTCGTTAGAGGGACATTTAACACACTCCAATTCATATAAACTAATTGCATTCTAAGATTTACTGCAATCATTAAAGCTACAATAAACTTTATCCTTTCTTAACTTCAAGACACAGTTAACTGTATTTTTCTATAGAATGTTTTAGGAATTTGCTATAACTTACCCAATGGTTTTTAACTCACTATAAATATTGCTGGTCCTAATTCATGTGTAAAGAATGTTTTAATGCTTAATACTCAAATGACAATGTGAGAAAGGAATCCAAATGATCTCATCTCATTTCTTATTTTCTCCATCAACTGTCCCTTGCATGTATTTTTTTCGCTGTAAAAATGATTTGTCTTTCTTCCCTAATAATCTTAGAGCTCATGAAGGAAAGGTTGAAACAAACTACTATGGGGGAGAAACACCAGAAAGAACTAAGCAGGAAAATCCTCAGAGTAGTGTACTGAGGTTTATGCATATCCATTCACTCACAGTGTCGTACCAGTAGGGACTAAAGAGAGTCCTGAGAGAGCACTGTCTTAGTGAGCTACAGCAGCCCTAGAAAAAGGCTGCTCTGGACCCACAGAACAAACCTAGAAGTAAGGTTTCAGGAATGGAATTCCTGCACAAACCTTAAAAATGTTTAACAGATTTTTTCAAGTTCAGTATGAACAATGTAAAATTGCAATGTTTGGCATCCAACAACAACAAACTGCCAGGCAGGCAACCAAGTGGGAAGTACTAGCTGTAAAAGGAGAGAAGATCACGACTGGATGCAGACCAAGCATCTGACACACGGCAGAATGCCAGATAAGGACATCTAAAAAGAAACTAACAAAATAACTGCAGATAACTATACATAACTGTCCTCCATCTAGCCAGGCTCAGCAGCTCACACCTGTTAAGTCCAGCATTTGAAAGGGCGGAGGCAAGAAGGCTGCTGTGAGTTCAAGGCCAGCCTGAGCTACAGGGTGAAACTTTGTTAAAAAAAGAAAGAAAGAGAAGGAGGAGGAGGCAGTGCACACCAGCATGAACACAATAAAAAGAGAAAAGGTTACAGGAAAGACTGAAACGGAACTCCAGAGGAAACAAATACAACACGAGTGAAGGACATACTGGAAGGGATCAACAGCAAACAAGACAGAGCAGAGGAAACAATTAGCGAGTCTAAAGTATCGCAAGACACCTTCAATAAAACACTGGGGGGGGGTGAACATTTAAAGGGAAAAGAACACTGAACACTGGTGAATAGAGAGAGAATTTAAAACAGGCTAAGACATAGTTAATGGAAGTTGTAAATGAGAGGGGGCAATGTTTTTGAAAAAAATTTTGACTTTGGACCCATATATCGCAAAAGATCAGTGAACTTAGGTAACAAACATTAAGAAGAAACATACTCTATCAACAAGGCATCATAGTCAAGCTGCAAAAAATCAATAGGAAAAGAATACATTAAAGGTAGTTATAGAGGGGCTGAAGAGAGGGCTCAGTGGTTAAGAGCACTGACTGCTCTTGCAGAGGACCCAGGTTTGATTCCCAGTTCCCACATGGCGGCTATGAACTGTCCTTAATTCCAGTTCCAGGGGAATCTGACACCCTCTTCTGACCTCCATGGGCACTTCATGATATGGGTGCACTTACACACATGTACACAGTACATCCATGTACATAAAATTTAATAAAACAATAAAATATAAATATTTTCTTTTAAAAAAGGAAGCCAAGTCCTCTGCAAGAGCTATCAGTGCTCTTAACCTCTGAGCCATCTCTCTAGCCCCCGGGTTTGATTCCCAGCACCCACATGGTGGCTACAAACCATCTTTAACTCCAGTTCCAGGAATCCGAAGCCCTCTTCTGACCTCTGCAGCATTGCACAACACGGGTGTACTCACATACATGCAGGCAACACACTCATACACATAAAACAAAAATAATAGAATAATAATAAAAAAATTTTTTAGAGGAAGCCATAGGGGAAAAGATTACACATAAAGGAATATGCAAAAGAATTACAGCAGGGGCTGGAGAGATGAGATAGCTCAGTGGTTAACAGCACTGACTGGTCTTGCAGAAGGCCAGTTCAGTTCCCACTACCCATGTGGTACCATCCGAAACACCAGACCTCCATGGGCAGTGCACACATGTGGTGCACTTACGTACATGCACACAAAACACTTATACACATAAATTAAAATACAATAAATATACATTTTAAAGAAGTATAGCAGATTTCTCCTCATAAATAATGCAAGGAGGGCAACTTTAAAGAGCTGAAACGGGCTGAAGAGATGGCTCAGGCTCAGCAGGTAAGAGCTCTGGCTGCTCTCACAGACGACCCCCATAAATAATGCAAGGAGGGCAACTTTAAAGAGCTGAAACGGGCTGAAGAGAGGCTCAGGCTCAGCAGGTAAGAGCTCTGGCTGCTCTCACAGACGACCCTGGTTCTGATCCCAGCTCCCACATGGTGGCTAACAACCATCCTTAACTCCAGTTCCAGGGGAATCCAACGCCCTCTTCTGACCTCCGTGGGCATTGCACAACACAGGTGCGTTTACATTCTTGCAAGCAATACACTCATACACAGAAAATAAAAATAATAAAAATATTAAAGAGCTGGAAGGGGAAAGTCAACTAAGAACTATATTCTGTGTAAGAACATTTTTGCACGCCAGGCATGGTGGCAAACTTTAATCCAAGCACTCAGGAGGCAGAGGCAGGCAGATCCCTGTGAGACAGAGGCTAGCCTGGTCTACATATCGAGTTCCAGGCCAGTTGAGGCTATAGGAAGACCCTGGCTCAGTTGAGGGTGGTGAGATGGCTCAGTTGGTAAAGGTGCTTGCTGTGCACCCTAGCAACCTTAGTTCAATTCCTGGGACCCACACAGAGGTGGGAAGAGAGAACCAACTCCACAAAGTTGTCCCCTGACCTCTACTCACGCACTGTGGCATGTACACACACTCACGCATGCACAATAATAAAAAAAGAAACTTAAAAAACTTTTAAGAACATGTTCTGGCACGTAAGAGCAGAAGCAATTCACTTATCAGGAAACAGGAATGACATAAAATATTATGGGAATTTCTTCTGGCAGGAAATGTAAATCTACACAAAAGAATGAGGAACAGGGATTGTGAATATAGGGGAAAAAATAAAGGCTTTCAAATATTTTAAACTTCTTGAAAAAGCTTATCATGTAAGCAAAATTAATACATTTGGAGGTTTAATGATATGCAAATTATATAAACAACAGAACAGAGGCCAGGAAAGGTGTAAATACAAGTACTTTCACAAGGCTCTGGACCATGAAATGTAGGTCAGTGTAGATCATAACGGGCTAATGCTGTGTGCTGTAAACCTACAGCCACAACAAAGCTGAGCTAATGTGCTACTGAAGAAATAAAAGGGAACCATTAGCTGGGCCTGGTGGTGTGGCCCTGGATTCTCTGCTGCTCCGGAGACCTGCCGGGGCTACCGGGGGAGTTTAAGGCCAGCCTGAGTCACTTAGCTGGACCCTATCTCAAACAAGCAATGATAAAGAATACGTAATTACTCCAAAAGAGAGGGAAAGGGAAACATAAACCAGAACAGGGATGAAGTAATTAGCACGATGACCAAATGTGAGCCCATTAAATTTAAAATGTCAACGTATCTCAGTTAAAAGACAGGTTGTCAGAGTGGAAAAGAAAGATCCAATATATCCTCTCCACAAGAAAGCCAATACAGACACTGATAGGCCAGAAGTAAACAGATGAAAAACATGCACACTAATGATATTCCAAAAACAGCCTTGTAACGTGTTAGCATCAACACCAGGCAAGCAGACTTCTGAGCAAGGGAGAATAACAAAGGTCAAAGAAGGTACTGTCATACAGATTCAGTGGACAAGGACACAACACACTCTGTTTGTATGTACCTGACTTCATCTTAAAAGTATGTTAAGCAAAGACTACCAGGTAAACAGACAAACATACAATGATTTTGGAAGATTTCAATATCCCTGTGTGAACTCATAGAACACCAGGGAGGATACAGAAGACCTGAACAGCATTACTAACCAAGCTGAACTAAGAACTCGCAGAGACCTGGACACACATTAAACACACATCCTTTTCTCTCAGAGAAGGAATAAGTGATCAATATCAGATAAAAGAAGGAAAGCCATCATGCATCTTACAGATATTAAAAGTAAAATAAAGTACTATTATGAATGACTCTGTGCCAGGAAATTTGAAAACTTGGATAAATTCTTAGATGAATTCTTTGAAAGCAATTTTACCTAAGCTCAATCTAAAATCAAACAGCCTAGTACAGCATTACACATGGTAACAAAATTTGAAAGTTTCAAACTTGAAGATTGACTTGAAAAAGTTAAAATTTTGTAAGAAAAAAAAAAGTTTCCATGTCTCGTTGTTTGGAAGAGGTTTATACCATGTCTTCCAGGAGACAGAGCAGAAAGCATATAACTCTGAAGAAATTACAGGAGGAAAACCCAATGACTCAGATTAGGCAGAAACTTATTAAAAACTTCCTCTTTGGAAAAAAATCAAAAGAAAAGCTATACATTTGGAGGAAAGAGTTGCAAAGCAAATATCTGATGAGCCAGTTAAATCTAGAATACAAAGAACTCAAGACAAACAACCCAAGTTTTTAAAGTAAGTAAAAGATTTAAATAGACATTTCACCAAAGAAGATGTGATCATGCGTAAAGAGCACACAAAAAGGTGGTCAGCATGACTGCAAGGAGGGCAAGCCCAAGGAACACCTGCCCGATCAGCCCCTGTAGGAACGAAAACGAAAACCACCATCTGTATCAAGTGTCACTGTGCATGACGTTTAACTAGCTCTTTGTATAATTCTGGTGGGAATGAAAATGGGACAATGGCCTCAGAAAATATATTTGTGATTTATTAGAACACACAAGCGTCACATCACTCAGTCTATGCTTCATGATTTATTTCAGAGAAATGGAACCATGCATTTACACGCCCATTCATAACGGCTCTATCTGTAATACCTCAAAATGAACAATATGCCCACCAACCAGGGAAGAATAATCCAAAAGTCTCAAACTCTGAAAAAGCTCCAAAATCTGAAACCATCTGAGAGACAACATAATGCCACAAGTGTAAACAGATTCCACATCTGATTTCATGTGATGGGTTGCAGTCATAATGAGTGAACTTTATATTAAGACTGAGTCACATCCATAAGATGAGACTATTCCAAAACCTAAGAAAGTCTGAAAGCTGAAAGCTTCTGATGCTAAACACTGCAGATCAAGTATCCCCACCCTAGATATCCACAGTGGAATTGTAATCATCAACAAAACAAACTGCTGGTAAAAAGAACAACATGGACCAGTCTAAAATAAGATTAACAAGAGTCACAATCTCTTACCCCACAAAAACATGTTTTTATAGTTGTGTTTATAGAAAACAGTTAAAAGTATCAACTAATATACAGGGACAGAAGCACATCTGTGGCTGCCTGTGACAAGGATGTGGAGCTGCAGGTTAATGAAGAGGGGTGAGAACACTTTTACAGAACAAAGATGTTCTGTAACATCATGGGTGATGGTTCTGGTTACCATTTTGCCAAAGTTAGACGAATTTTACACTTCAGAAATCTGCAGGGTTTTTTTCCCCCACATTTATATATTTATTGTCCTTAAATACACATGTAAGAAAAACTACCAGAGCACTGTCCTTACTTTGTCAATGTTTGTCATAGAGAAATGCTTAAAAGAGACTGCATGACCTTGACTCCTAAAGACAGTAGCTGCAGATGGAAGATTCAAATACTAGTGTCTGATACAGCTGATGTCAGTGTGAGAGGCATGGCCTTCACTGCACTGCTCCCTCTCCCTGTGAGCTTCCCTCTCCCCAGCTGGCTCAGGGGCAGCGTACTTACTGGCCAGGCAGTCATCGATGTCCTCCTCACAGTCCACACCACTAAAGCCGGGGGGACACTCACACATGTAGCTGCCCTGGGTGTTATGGCAAAGGCCATGGTTCATACAGGGCTTGGAGACACACTCATCAATGTCAATAGTACATCTCTGACCTAGAAAAAAAGAATAATGAACAGTCAGTCTTTGGACACTGATTCCCACAGAAATCTAGGTTGGGGGTGGGGGAGCTCAGAGGTGCGTGCAGCTTCCTGAAGGACACCTGACTGGTCTCTTGCTTTAGGAAGTCTCAAAAAGTTTCTATGTCCCTAAGACGTTGTTACCAACTGCTAATCACAGTTTGAGACTCTTGGGTGTGAGTGTCCCAGCCAGCAGAGCCTCCCTAAAGATGACACCTAGGAAGGTGATCTGAGCGTTCCTCAATGACTACAAAGGCCACAGGCCTCCCATGCCACCTCCCACATCATGTGACGACCCAACCACCTTGTTTAAAGTACAGAATGCACCCCATGTCATTACCTTGCCACCCAGGAGCGCACAAGCACGTGAAACTCTCAAAATTCGGTGCTTCTTTACAAACAGCCGCGTTCTCACAAGGGTTTGGGGAGCAGGGAGCCAACACTGTTTGACAGTTCTTGCCTGGAAAGCAAATGGCAATTTGCGATAGCCAGCCAAGGCAAAGAGCAAGAAACTATAAACCCAGACGAGTTTGGGACTCCCGCCTGTAGCAGTGGGTGACAGCCTTTGGAATCTGAGAGACCCTTGGTCCTTTCAGCCTGGTTTTGTAACCTTGGGCAGATTATTTAAGTTCTCTGACCCTTCTTCATAAACAAGAAGAGCATGTTCCCACAGAGGATTTTTGAGGATTCAGTAGAAAAATGCACCCCAAGTCCTACTCGCACAGAGTAAGTGCCCAGCCTCCGCTGGGCTGCTACCAGCTTCACTGTTACCATGGTGAGTGGCTGCGCAGATTTGGACACCTGCATCAGTCTGGTAAGATGGCTTCTGCATCTCCAGAGCTGAGACAACAGCAGAGACGCTTGGCCTCACAAAGAGGCTGCAGCCTGGCCTCCTGCTCCTCAACCTCCTACTGAACTGCTCTGGAGGAAAGAGTGAGAGCTGAAGGCACAGCAGGGGAGGGACACAGGGAGGCAGCCAATTGCTAGGCAACCTCTCCTTAGATCAGGAAGACTCTGAGGTCCACCCACCAATGCTGCCTGCCTAGGTATGTTACCTATGAACTCATAAAAATTAAACAAATAGAGGGCTAGAGAGATGGCTCAGAGGTTAAGAACACTGGTTGTTCTCACAGAAGACCTGGGTTTGAATCCCAGCACCCACATGGCAGCTAACAACTGTCTGTAACTCCGGTATCCAATCCCCTCTTCTGACCTCCGTGGGCAGTGTATGACATGGGTGCCTTTCTGCACATCCAGGCAATACACACATACACATAAAATAAAAATAATAAAATTTTTTAAAAATTAAACAAATAAAAATGCTCTTATTAAAAGGGTGATCTGTTTTTTCCATTTTAAAAAGATTTTATTTTTAATTACATGCATGTGGGTGTAATCTGTGTGTGGGTATATGCACGTGAGTGCAGATGTCATGGAGGTCAGAAGAGGATCTTGGATCCCTGAAGCTGGAGTTACAGGAGGTTGTGACTCACCTGAAGTGGGTGCTGGGAGCCACATTCTGGTCTTCTTAACTGCTGAGCTATCTCTCTAGCCCCGAGGGTTATTTTTTAATTTTTAATTTACATTTAACTATTTGCAGAACTATTTGTCACAGCACACGTGTGGCAGTCACAGGACAAATTGCTGGACTCAGTCCTCTCCTATCATGTGGGTCCTGGGGATCAAACTAGGTCATCAGGCTTGGCAGTAAGAGTGTGTACCCACTGAACCATCTCACCAGCCTACTCAGGTTGTTTTCAAAGTCAAGTTACAACTAGCTCGACTTTAACACTCATCCTAAAGTTCTGTACTCTGAAAGAAAAGGATTACCATGAATCTTTCTCCAATACCTCCAGTGGTCAGTTTCTAAAGCATCTGAGCAGACCAGTGGATTACAAGAGGAGGCGGTGCTCCTTAATTCCTTTTTGCTGGGAAAACCCCAAAATGCTTAGAGCTATTAGCCACACAGAACTAATATGCTCATCTGTGGCGTTTTGGACAAATTTGCTTCTCTAAAATCATATCGTTTTCAGTTCTTTAACCAGGATACTTCTCTAAAGAAAAATCAACAGCCAGCATACAGCCAATAGTCTTGGCATATTTAACAGCACATTAACAAAAGATTATTTCAAGGTGAATGGAGCCCAGAGACACACAGCAGGTAGGTCAGTGATGCTGCTGGGCATGGTGATGCCTGGGCTTATCTCCCTCAGCCGTCAATTCTCTCTCAGTCTACACAGTCATGGATGATCTTCCCACTACCAACAGATAGGATAAGCACCCTCTCTATGGAATGCCAGTATTTATACTGTTTTTGCCTACAGAGTTAGGAGTTTCTGTACCTTGATTTCAGGAGGCGGGCAGGCGGATGCAGTTTCCCTACATCACTGTTTCTCCACACAGGACAAAGAGAAGAGTGGAGAATCAAGTTTTCCCCACACCCCTGACCAGCTTGCTGCACTACACAGCTCCAGCCAACAAACAGCCCGGGACTCCAGGGAAGCACAAGCTCAGCCATGTTCCTGCCTGTCAGCTGCCCACCACAGAAACAGGCAAAGCCATGGCCATGTTTCTGTTTTGTTCCTCATGGATGAAGAAAACATGAGGAGGAGGTAAAAGGCCCCAACACAACCAACCATAGCACCGCAAGAGTAAGACAGGAAAAAAAAAACGAGGGCTGTGTCAAGCACATGCCAAAAATGCCACCTGAAATAGAACACCTGCTGTGTGATGACATCACACTTGTGTCTCCCCTGTGTGTGTGACAGCTGCGCAAGGGGCAGTGCTTCTGGGAGAGGTGGTGAATGTGAGGAGTAAAGGGCAGAGGGATGGAGTGGCACTTGACAGGAAGACCTCTGGGTTCAGAGGCTAAGGAGCTTGTCCTAGATCCTCCATTTATCTTTGCGAGTTCCTTTTGCGTTGGCCTCCTACATACAAAATGGTGACAGCAAATTCTACACCGTAGAATTCCTTATTCCTTATTGAACATAAATAATCCAGGTATAAAAAGTATTGGGAGTGTGAGGATACAGATCAGTGTGCACCTGCCCAGTGCAAATTAATGCCTAGTCACACACACATGCTCATGCACAAGGGTCTAGTACACAGTAAGTTACAATGGATGGTAGTTGTGCTATTGAAACTAGAACTAATAGCACAGTTCATGGGAACACACGTCCATTCAAATGAACTAAGTGTGTCTACCCTGAAGCTTGCAGGCTGCATGCATCCCAGGATAGGTATGAATGCCACCCAACACATCTGTAGACATCCCAGGATAGGTATGAATGCCACCCAACACATCTGTAGACCACAGTGACATCCACAATGTCAAAAGGCTGGACACCACTGGACAAACCATCAACTAGGGACCAAGTTCCCTATATATAATTTAAAAAACCCAACAGTAAAATATAGGGCTAGGGATACATGCCAGTTGTAGAGTGCTTTCCAGCAGGCATAAGACCCTGGGTTTGATCCCCAGTACCACAAAGCAAAAAGCAAATAAAAACCCACCTGTATAAGGCAACACACAGTGGCAGGTGTAGCCATTAATTTCATCAAAGCAGGCTCCTTGATTCAGACATGGATTTGAGGCACATTCATCAATATTCACCTGGCAGTTGTAGCCTGTAGGCACAGGGGAAAACCACAGCGTGAAGCTTTCTGTCAGTCCCTCACTACCTTGGCACCTACCACTTCTCTTGGTGGTGAAACTTACATGTCATTTTAGTTCCAGGTCTCTGATGTTCAATCAGTGGTCAACCAGACAAAAAGGTAAGGAAGGACAGTTTGTTCAGTGGTTTGAGGGTCTAACAGACCTCCAAATACAAGTAAATTCTCGATACCGGACCAAGAAGCTCATTATGAGTGAAAGCTTCGCTGCTAGAACTAAACATGAGTCCCTTTAATATGAAGTTTTTGGTCAGAAAAAGTATTGAAAGCACCAGAATGGAAGCCTTTGGAATGTGCCCCTCTCTCTGTAGTCTCTGCTACTATACGGTGGGCCCTGAAGCCATAAGGTAATTTTCCTCCTGATTCAAGAAAAGTAATGATTAGAGGAAATAAGGCAGTGCCCAAATACTGTACAGCTTTTCACCTTCAGTACAGCCCAACACAAGAGCCCTCAGACAGGAAAGCCACAGCACTGCTGGTGACAGGGAGCCTGGGAGCACAGAGGTCTGGGCTCAGCCGTGCTGTGGGGCTCTCTCACCAAACCAATTTCATATTTTTGTTTTGATCACTAGTAAGTCTCAATGAGGTAAAGAAAGTTCTTTTAAATGTGTAGACATTTCTAGGCAAATACTATATATCAGAATATTAATTACTGAAATAGGACCTCAAATTTTTTCTGGCATAGTCTATGCTTCCTCTGAAATACTTGGTACCAGGAATGTTTTGGGGATCATTGAAGGGAGGGGGATTCTTATATATAAATAATGAGCTATCTGAGGGATATGACCAAGCCCAAATAGAAAATTCATTTGTCTCATATATGCCTTGTGCAAATAGCCTGAGGTTAATTTAAAATAATATTTTAAAGTGATACTGCACATGAAACAAAGTTTCATGCATAAGGCTAGATGTGGAATTTTCCACTTGTTTTTCACATTCCTGATTTGAGTTAGGGATGCTCAACCTGTAATCAAATTTAGTGAGCCAAAACATATTGAAGCATCTCAGTAGCTAACACAGCCTTCGGGTGGGGAAATCAATACAAAGAGATGGAGGAATATAAATACCAATCATTGACTCACGTACACATCTCTCATGGGTTTCTAAGTGAAAGCTCGTAGTTCAAATTATCAGTGACAAGCAGAAAGAAGAATTTATATAAACTCTTCTGCTATGTATTTTTCTAGAAAGCCATAGAAAACTAAGTATCTAGAATACCTCATGTGTAAGAATTTGTTGGAAAGGTCTAGAACACACTGGAATCCAGTCATAGGAAGTACAATGTCTGCTTCCTTGAAGCCTTTTGAATTTTTATAGACTGAAGCCTAGACCAACAAGCTCCCAATTAGACACTTGCACAATCCTAAGTGGAGTCTTAAGTTTTTCCATGGATTTTAAAATTGTGTATATTTGTACGTCTGTGTATGCATGTGCCACCACGTGAGTGCAGAGGGCAGAGGACAACCTGCAAGAGTTGATTCTCTCCTTCCACCCTGTGGGTCCTGGGGATCTAAATGTCATCATGTCTGATAGCAAGCACCTTCACCTGCTGAGCCATCTCACTGGCCCCCATGTAGATCTTATCAGCTCGTCTGGAGTATTACTGTTCCAACAAATCGCCTCTCTGGTAAGTTGAAGGTAGAAATCGTTATTCATGTTTTTATTCCCCAAGTGCCTCACAAATGCTAACTGCTGCGTATTTGCTATGTGAATAAACAACAATAAGAAATGGAGACGAAGACGTGGAAAGCAAGCAGTGTGCCACCACAGGAAGACCATGCTTACCTTTGAAGCCCTTCTTGCATGCACACCTGTATCCATTCACCAGGTTGTCACAGCTTCCCCCATTCTGGCACGGGTTAGACAGACATTCATTTTTGTCCACTTCACAGTTGATGCCAACCCAGCCTGCATCACAGAGGCACTTATAGCTGCAGGAAGACAGAATTTTCTCAATGCCACGAATGGACTCCCTCTCTAGAAGCTGTTGGTAAGGGGTATCGTAGACCCTCCATTAGTACTGGCCCTTGCCCCTGTTCTTGGTTACCCACCAGAACTTGATGGTTAGACCCTATTGCTGAAGACACTACATATATGAGGTATGTAACAAAGAGAAACCAAGCTGGTGCTGACCTCAGAGCCTCACTCACCTCTCCTGGCTAGCATTCACAGTGCTGGAAGATGCTATCCATGCTACCAGAAGGAAAAAAATAGTCATCAACCTTACCTAGCTGTGAATCCTGGGAACTACAATAACAACTGGCCTGGCAAGATATGCCCACCATTGCAATAGTGGTACAAATATTATGGGGTAACCAACTTCCTTCTAATTAGATTTAAGGTCTGCTTCATAGGATGGAGCCCATACGTGACATTGATACCAGGTTTAGGAACCTGAGGCTAGACAGGAAACAGGCTATAGGGGAGAGCGTAATACTAGCTTTCTACTAAATAGTTACAGTATTAAACTGACTCCTAAGGACTTATTGTTATGCCCATAGATTAATGCATCTCTCAACTCTCACCAGAGAAGTTTCCTTATGCAGCAGATGGTAATTTACACAGAAACCCACAACTGGCCAATGTACATAGAACAAGAGGCTGATGAGTGCTTATCCCCAAATAGGACACCTATATCAAAACATCTGCCTCTCAAAGCTCAGGGATCATGTGGAAAAGGGAGTGGAAAGACTGTTAGTCAGTGATGAATGACTGAACGGAAATAAGAGTTTTCCAGACAGCTGTTCAGTTACTCATATGAACTCACTGCAATGTGGGCAGCATGCACAAGTCCCACGTAAGCTCAAATCAGACAAAATCCCACACCCGGCTCATTTTTTTTTTCCTATGGGCTTGTAGCCGCCTTTCACACAGTGTAAGTGACGAGCCATCTGGTGTGTCCAGTCAAGAGTCTTATATATATACATCCCTGACTGAGAAGCTAGGGAAACTTTACTGGTAAACAATGGTTTACCAAATACACTGGTCCAATCTGAAGAAGGCACTAACATGAACAAACCTCAGACTCTCTGATGGAAAGCAGACACCAGGAAATGGGCCAGCAGCAAAGCCAACTGAGAGCCCAAGGGAGTATCCTCCAGGTGAATCAGGCTTTATTCTGACCCAAAACCCTGCCTTAGAAAACAGGGTATTGAGCAAGAAAAGGCACAAAAATGAAGACATCTGAAACATATATATTATGCAATTTAAACACTTAGCACTTAAATATCAGGAGGTCAGATGAGAAGGAGGGCTGAGGAGGGGTGTTTTAAAAGTTGTCATATTCTGAAACAAAAGTATTGAGTTAATTCAATAAAAAGTTCACTGCCCATGTATCTCTAACCCATTCTTCATTCTTTTACCTGCTGAAGATGTGAGAAATGGCAAAACCCAAGACTGTCTTATGACAAGTGCATAAGGCCACCTCAGGAGACCTAAGATCACTCTCATTTTAAAAATCACAACATGCCTTCAGCAGCTGAGGGGCATGCAGCCTACAAATGCTTTACCACAACCATGTTTGAAGTCAGCTGATCCAATCTACTCTAGCATCCACAGATGCTATGATGGAACAAGGTTAGGCTGTATTAACAGTTGGGGGGATAGAATCAATCTAGAACATTCCTCAAATCTCAACCCTGTAATATAAAACACTTTTTCCAGACTCATGAACTAAATCTGGACTCCTCTCACAAGGTCCTCGCTGATTATTTATGTAAAGGAGACAATCTTCCTCATTTCCCTACAAAGTCAGGGAAGGCAGGTCAGCATCTATGGAAGACTTTGATGCAGACTATCAAAAACCTTCACCTAGCTGGGCATGATGGTCATGGCTTTAATCCCAGCACTTGGAAGTCAGAGTCAGGCAGATCTCTGTGAGTTCAAGACCAGCTTGGTCTACACAGTGAGTTCCAGGCCAATCAAAGTTATACTGTGAGAGACTCTGTGTCAAAAAACAAAAACAAAAAAATCAACCTTTACCTAAGTTTCAGGTCAAGTCCCCGAGGACTGACATCTGCAAGCTATCGAAGTTCTAAAAACTAACTGGCTCGAGCAGGTCAGTAAGAAGGCACCAACACAGGGCAGCTACTCACCCACTGAGGCCCCCAGTGCAGTTTCCATGGATGCAGGGACTGCTCAAGCACTCATTCACCTGCGAGTAGCAGCTGGGATGATGGGGTCCCTCAGGGCATATACAGCGGAAGCCGTTCACGTCGTTGATGCATGTCGCACCCTTGCGACAGGGATTGGAGGCACACTCATCAATGTCAATGTTACATCTCTGCCCTGTAGAGGGGGGGCACTGTTACGTCCCAAATTCTCAAGGAAAAGAGAATGATAAGACACCTAGGCTGGCACTCTTCACCTACATAGCACCCTGAGCACCAAATGTTAAGATTTAAGGACTGACACACAGAAACGCACTCCATGCCATGCAAGGAAGGCACAAGAGACTGGCAGTTGATAAGGAAGTCAAGTTACTGATCACAAAGCACTGGGGCAGCATTGCGACATTTTGAAGTGTATGTCCTTTCCTTCCTCACAAATTGGGAAACTTCACAAGCACCTAGGAGACTGTCAAAGATAGCTTCTCCTTCTGGTGCTGCCCTATGTGTGTTCAGAGAAGCTCTGCAGGGCATGCTTCTCCTGGGGGCCACAGATTTGCCTTCTTACATTCCTATTTATGGTAAGTCATAACTAAGTGGGATGGGAATGGAATACTTAGTTTCCTGATTAAATTGACGGAAAAGGAGAGCTATTCTGTTTTCATTCTTAGAGTAGTAGTAACAGTTTTCTCTCAGTAAATAGTCTGTAAGCATGCTTTTCTTGTCCCTTGATAACCGAGATAACATTTCAGTGACTCCCAGTCTAGAGCAGTGGTTCGCAAACTTTAATGTCCAAAAGTCTATTCAAAAGGAGATTTCTAGGCCCTACTGCCACAGATTGGGAGGGGTTAGGCCCAATAACCACATTTTAAATGGTTTAAGTGGTTCAAATACTAGATTTTGAAAAATTCTCTCTAGAATTTTCCATCCCCTATAAAAGTGTATCTGCCTGTAGCTTATAAAATTGAAGTGGACACATTCTTTCAAGACACACCAAAGATGGAGCTTTGAAGAGATGCCTACAATAGCCTTCATCTTTACTGCAGTAAGTAGGCTGAACAGAAACTAATGGCTAATCATGCAAGTGCCATGTCAACAGGTTCTGAAATGCTGTGACATTTTAAATGTTCTCTGTAAGTCTGTAAGCAAAATCTAGCAACTGTTATGAAGCAATTTATGAATTTCAAAGAATATAATGTTCTGAATAAGGTTTTAAGGTGTTGTTTTTCAATTAATTTAAGAAGGAGCAAGCCTGCATTTAGTACAGGAAGTTCAAATAAAAGAGACACACATCCTTTAAAGTATGGGTTGTCAGCTCACTTTGGGATTCCAGTTCACTCTGAACCATTACTGTTGCCTCTTGTGGTGAGGACATACAATCTGGAAGTAGTTGCCATTTTCCTCTCAGTGTTTTATTACTAACTTGTTTTAAAGTAATAAGTTTAATAATTTTTTTGATAGGGTTTCCCTGTAGCCACACCTGTTCTGGAACTCACTATGTAGACCAGGCCCGCCTCAAGTCTCACAGAGACCTGCTTGCCTGTGCCTCTCAAGGGCTGGGATTAAAGGTGTGGACCACCATGCCTAGCGTAATTTTAGTAGTTTTAAAATAATGACATATATGTTTAAAAAAATCCATTACATTGTATGCTGAAAAGATGATTTTTAAAAATCCAAGAGTCGGCCGGGCGTGATGGATCTCTGTGAGTTCAAAGTCAACCTGGTCTACATAGTGAGTTCCAGGCCAGCTGGGGCTACTGTCCCAAAAGGACGAAAAAAAAAAAAAAAAAAGTCTGCAGAGTGTGGATCCTTGAAAAGACTCCTATATCAAACTCCACCCACCTAGGGCTCAGGGACCATTGTGGAAGAGAGGGTAAAAAGATTGTAAGAGCCAGGGAGGAGGTGCAGAACCATATGGAAATAGAGTCCTACAGGCTCCTGGGACCCTTCTCATATGAACCTATAGCAATGGTGTCAGCATGCACAAGACCCATGCAAACTCAAGCAGACAAAAACCCAGCACAGAACTGTGGAAATAGGCAGCAGGCCCCAATCTTAGCCAAAGAACTATTGGCAGCTGATTACTGCTAGGTGAGGAAGACCTGATCTTCTTAAAGGGAGGGACTCTAGATAGACCGACTAGACCGCAGTAAATGAACTTGCACTTAGGGACATCTGGGAACACTAACTTGACTTGATGGGCCTTCACACAAATGATAGAATGCATGAATTCCAGTGGGGGTGGGGCTATGGAAAGGTATCAGTGGGGAAGGGGGTATAAAAATGATTAAAATATTCTGTAATAAAATACACAAAAATTCAATAAAAATTTACAAAAAACCCTTGAAAACACACACACACACCATTTCACTATTTCACGATCACACACACACACACACACACACACACACACACACACACACACCATTTCACTATTTCACGGCTTCAATTAGTGGTTGGTTGGTTTGTTTTTCAGATGCACCGGAGCTCTCCATTCACAGAGCTGGCCTGGGCCTGCAATCCAGGAGAGGTTGAAAGGAAGCAGACTTTTTCAGTTTTCGTCCTTTCTGGAAGCATTTCTAAAGACACTACACCTCCTAAGGTCTTCCTTGGCTCTTTTGAGATACAGGGTCTCAATATGTTGCCCAGGCTAGCACCAAACCCTAGGCTCAAGGGGTCCTCCTGCCTTGGTCTTCCAAGTGCTGGGATTACAGGCATGAGCCACCCTGTCGCTTTTTTAAACAATTTTAATTACTTAATGAATGAATGAATGAATTTTGCTGCTAGGGATAAAACTTGGGGTCTTGCATGCTAAGCAAGCACTCCACCACTGAGCTATACCCCCAGTTCCTCATTTGACTTTAAGTAGTTCCCAGAATAAAATTTTAAGCCATTTTGACATGAATCAGAACAAGTCTGTCTTTGTGCAGTCTACTGTGCTCACTGGCAGCTACTTCTACAAGGTTCTGCCCTCATGCAGTGTCCACTGGGTATCAAAAATGGCCAATGCAAGCCATTCAGTTTGTGGGGCTCAGCAATGATCAAAGAGAGATGTTATCCTGTGCTTCTTCCTCTGTCTACACTCAATCAGTTGGTGCCCAATGAATGACAGCATGCTCCATGGGCTGTGTGGACTGTATGGTCCAGGCTGGATGGCAGAAGTGCTACAGTTGAGTCCCATTCATTCATTCATTTGTTCATTCATCTGCTAACATGAGCTGAGCATTTCTTCTGAGCCAAATACTGCTGAAGGATGAGGAATGCTCACTCTGCAGTTCACTGGCTAAGGACAGGGCCCAGCAAGCTCCACCTCTCAGATGCCATGTTTGTTAACTGAGAGTAGGACACCCTTTGTGCACAGAAGAATTTAGGAAGATAATGGATTTTTGGAGGTGCTTTGTGGATTTTTTCTGTCTTGTTACGGTGCTTGTGATTGAACCCAGGACCCTGTGTACTCCATCAGTAAGTTATATTCTGTAACAGCCCTCTTTTTACTTTTTATTTTGAGACAAGGTCTCACTAAGTTGACCAGGCTAGCCTTGAACTTAAGCCTTGAACTTGTTACCATCATGTGTGAGCCTAAGTAGCCAAGATTACAGGCCTGTGCCAGCAGGCAGATAATCTAAGCACCAAGAGGGACTTTGTAACATGAAAAGGGGTTTACAGGATCACGTGATTCCTTATTCACTCCCATTTAATCAAAAACTATCAAGAGACCCTAGGAGAACAGGAAAACAGTCTTTACAAAAGAAAAAGTGCATTCTTTCAAAGCTCTTATTGAAATGGAAAAATTATTAAAACAAAAAGGAAAAATCAAAACACCTCACATTTATTGCTCATGAATCTAAAGACATTTTCAGCAACCAGCTTAAAAGCAAAACAAAAAATCTCTCAGACCAGAAAAAACAGTTCCAAGAACAGGGCACCGCCTAGCAGCCCAAACATTCCATTTCTTGGTTATGCAGTTTCATGCTACACCTTAAGTTTATTTTAAAATATTTTTAGCCTATGTTCTCCCTCCTTGACCCTGCTGAGTTGCTAAATGTTAAAAAAACAGAGAAACTATGATTCACTGGCATTTAAAAAAATAATTCCAGTAGAAGTCTTACATAAATCCAAAAGGAAACCACAGCAGGCTCCTAGTCAGCTGTGCAATGGGAATGAGCTGGACTCGGGGGTCAGACGCCTGGGGCAGAACTGACAGCAGTGCACTGGGCACGTCACTCAGTCTCTCCACCCTTGGGCTTTCCTCAGTACCACAGGAAGAGTAACAGCTGTGACAACTAAGTCAGGTGGGGCACCCAGCTTAGTTTCTAGATCACAATAGTCCTTCATACAAGTTTGCTGTTCTCTTCCCATACCCACTTAACAACACTGCACTTCAGCCTCTCTAGCAGGAACTTCTGAGTATTTACTTAGCTGCCACTTGATCTCGGAGAAACAGCTTTCAGGATGTGCAAGTCTACCAGGCTACCGCAGCAGTGTGGGGCCCTGGGTGGGGAACGTACACCTCTCTGACTTCTCAGGGATCGTCCAATGACCAGGAAGAATTGAGATCCACTGGAGCCACAAGTGTTCCAGTCTAGTGTCATGGTTAAAGCAAGCAAGAAAAATGCACGAGGGGACCAAGTCCCCAGTGAGTAAACACATTCTCTTTTGCTCTGGCTGCCCTTGGAATCTGACAAAAGCTCTGACGTGGGTTACTCGCCCAAGGAGCAGATGACTACGTGGTATTAACGGGTAACAGTACATCAGCCTGCTTGTGTGTAGTACTGTCCTTGAAAGAGCAGAACATGGAGCTGATCTTCCTGATGGCACCAGTACCATACGGAGGTGAGAATGAGTGCCAAGGCTTCCCAGGAGCCTCCAGGAAAGTAAATGACAAAGACAGTAACAAGGAAGAAGACACGTGAGACTGCACTTCACCCACGGGCACATATGCAGACTCTCTAGTGGCACATACTTAAGGGGAGTTACAATGCAGAATTATTTTAATCATTTTCTTTCTTCTCTGGGAAAAAGATCAGACTCATTCTAGTCAAATTAGAGTAGTCTCCTCAAATTATGACCTCATCAAAGAGGCTCCTAGAAGAGGTGGGACCCCAAGACAAGTAGTCAGTGTTCATGCAAGTTTACCTTGGGTACCGCTTTACAGAAGGTACTGGCCACTGCCTCGAGGGAAATAAAGGTGACTTTGAAGGTAACTCAGGCACAGTAATGGAAACTTACGGTCTGCTAGAAATTCTTCCTAGGTGGCAAGAGACACATGGCCTGAAAACTCTAATGAAAATGTTGTGTTTCAATTTAGAAAAGGTCAAAAGCAAATTTCAAACGTTCTAGAGAGACTGAGAACCAGGAGCCAGGTGAAAAAGTAATTCTCCCTTAGGTGCCCTTTCCCAGTGTGGCGGGGCTGAAGGAGGCCCCCTCCAAATACAAGCAACATTACCTGTGAATCCTGGAGAGCAGACACAACTGTAACGATTGATGCCATCGACACAAGCTCCGTGCACACAAGGATTGCTAGCACAGTCATCAAAATTAATTTCACAATTAAGGCCTGTAGAGAGAACCAGAGAAACCGCTGCTTATTACTACAGAAGTACTGTGGCCTCGGCTGGGAGGCCATGCATTAAGAAGTCCAAAGAGAACCCAGGCAGCCTGACAGAACAAAGCAGAGCTTCTCAAAGTGCAGTCCGCAGAATCGGGGACGGAGAGGTCAGGAGGATTAGATTACTCATCCTTAGCCACAGTTTGCCCTTCTCACTGTGTTGACATTTATGTTAAAAGTGTAAAAGCAATGCAGGTTAAACTGTCAGGATCTTAGCCAGGATCCAGGCAGTGGGACCAAACTCTATGCTCATATCCACATGCCTACAGTCAAACACACAATTGCCAGTTTTACCTAGAATGGCTTTGGTAAAGAGATTAAAATTCTTAACTTTATACCTTCTTAACTACCAACCCTTGACTATAGCACCTTTGTTCATATGATGACATGGGAAACACATGTAGGGCACTTATGCATATGAAGCAAGCATCATATACAGGAAGAGCAGTGCTTTGAATTGTGAGCTGATACAGCTACCCTTCTGTATGGGGCCCCATTTTAACTGAAAAAAAAAAAAAAAAACAGCTAACAGATAATTAAGGCTAATATGAGTTGAATATTTGGTGAAAGAAATAAGCCTGTCATTTTAAGAAAAAAAAAACCTGACAGAATTTGAGATTTGAAATCAAAACTAGCATTTGGGGATTTTGTCTCTTCATATTTGATTACAACTGTGAGTGTAGAGATAGAGCTCTGGATGTATCTTATGCCACTTGACTCCTGGCCTGCTCCCCAAGTGGGTTTGGCTACGTTAACACAGGCTTAGTAGATACAAATAACTAAGCCTAGGGATACATCAATCATTCGTGTTATCTTACCATGGTTACATGTAATGGTAATATAAAGTAATACTCCTATTTCATTATTTAACATGCACTTAAGAGTGCTTTCTGGGTATCATAGAAAAATACCGTAGCGGTAGAAAAAGTCTAAACTAAAACTCAAATTAAGAATAAAAATAAACAAAGCTTCTAGACCAAGTATCACAATTTTGATTCACTCACAAATGACAACAGCTGAAAGTAGATCAAACATTTATTAATACTTATAGGGCCTTATAAATGTGAGACATTGTTATGTGTGTTCTCTCCTTGCACCTTTCCTGAAGTTTCTCTAATCCTCTTAGTCAAGCTGTGAAGCCTGCTGTGTTACTCCCACCTTACAGATGGCAGAGCTGACTTGTGCAGAATCAGTACGAGCAAGACAATGGGATCTGAGCCCTGTCCTAGGCTCCGAGCAGCTCCGTTCCTTCCAGCATGCTAGGCAATCTTCCTATCTCAGTAGCCATAAATGAGAAAAGGATCCCCATACTTCCATATACAAGGTGGGCCTTCCAGATCCTTGTAGTCCTTTGCCTTCAACCCACGAAGGCAACACAATGAAGCTCCAGCTCCAATGGCCCTGGTTACTTGAGCTGGAAATGACACCAGGGCCAAGAGTATTTATATTGAAATTTGACCTTTGTGACCTTGGGCCTCTGCCTGCCCTGCTTTGTGCTGTTCTCTCAAAAACCCATGGTTCCACTCTCATTTACAACCTACAAGAGGCTTCTGCACATCACTAAATTGTTTGCTTTGCTGTTTTCTTCTTTCTTAATGATTCTTTATGCTAGCTCAAGTTGCTTTGGGTTACTTGAAACCCAAAGGAACAAACTGCTTAAACAGTTTATCATCATAAGAACACAGCTGGGAGAAGGTACTGAAAGTGACTGAGCCTATCTCCCTTTAAGCACCAGAGAATGAAAACCACAACTGTGGCTCGAAAGCCATGATGGATCCCTTCCATACAGGCTCCCTTCAAACTACCAACACAGACCACAAGATACTGGGGTCAGAGAATCTTACTCTAAGATGAGTACATCCACAGGCCTCCTAAACCATCTTTCCAGCCAGGTCCCCAGCACTGCAGACTCTTTTCCATTTAGTACAGACCACTGTCTCTGTGTGTTGCCTGCAGCTCTTTGCTCTAATTCTTCACACAGCTGCAGGAATGGGTTTGGCAGGCTTCTGAGACTCTGGCCTTCCTCTGCATACTGCCTATTGCAGACCATGCATATTAATTTCTTGCCTTTCTCAGTGATAGCTAGTTACCCTATGGTCCCCTGTCCTCCTGAAGGAAAAACCCACCTGAAATTCCCTGTCACAAGGATGTAATCCCAGAGGGAAAGAAAAGTGCTTGCCAACCCACCACTCGCCCAGGTTTCCAGTGTGCATGTTACGATGGGGAAGACAGCAAGCCTCAAACAGCCCCTCCATTCTCAAGGCATCCATTCAACTACTTGTAAATCTCTCAAATTTCTTTCATACTGCAATTTCTCATGTCTGGGGACCAGTCCGGAAGCAAATTGCTTTTGGAAGGTTTCACAAAGCCCCATTCAGCCCTTTGAGGGAGTTATCTAAATGTGGGGAAGGGGCAGGCATTCTCAGCTGTGAAGGCATGGGATGTTTTTCGTATGCTTGAGCAATTCAAAAAGGACTTTGTTTTCAAACTTGGCATGTGTGAGGCCCTGGATGAAGACCAGGGCCTTTGACAAGTTTGAAGAAGTGGATTTGAAGTAACACAATGAAATAAGGGCAGCTACCCACTCCCCTACCTCTGTCCCTACACAAGCCAATTTCCTTACGTCTAGGATGAGTTCCCAATAAATCATCTCTGGTATCGGCAGGTTCCCCACTCACAAAGGCACACTGGTTAATCTTCCACTAATATGCTTTCCTTTGATCTCAGACACAGTATTTTTCTACTAACCACTGCCGTGTCCATGATCATTCCTCTGAAGGTAAAACAGAACCCAGTGAAACCTGTGACATGCTGCTGCCTGAGAAAATGATTCGAAAACTCTGCGAGAGGGAGAACAGGCCCCCACACCTCACAAGCCATCTCCCTCCAGGCTCAGGTAAGGAGAACAGTACCACAACCTGTGTGTTCTACTTTGTAATGACCAAGGTATGGCACAAAGTGTTTCCTTCCTTTAAAACTACCCAGAATGCCTGAGGCCTTACCAGAAAGAGACTTGGAAGAAAGCTGTCACATTAGTAGAATTATGCAAGAGAAAAGACTCTGGAGGGAAGGTGGAAGGGAGACACAGTCTTACCTGAGGTGCCAGGCTGGCAATTGCACTGGTAGCCATTCACCAGGTCGATGCAGCGCCCATCATTCAAGCAAGGGCTGCTGTAGCACTCATCAATCTGGTCACTGCAGATGGCTCCCATGTATCCAGGGTTGCAAACGCAGGTGTAGGAGTCGATCCCATCCTGGCACTGGCCATGGTGGCATGGATCTGGGTCACAGTTATCAATGTTCTCCTCACACAACACACCAGTGAAACCTGGGGGAGGAATTTTATTGAGGAGTCTTCAAAACCAGGAAACACAATGAGTGTCTAAACCCCAAGGCAGTCCATCCATTCACCCTACATGTCCCACGTTTGTGGAAACTGGCTGTCTGCTCTGATTTAGAATGTGAGCTTGGAGATCTATGCTCAAAGTGCAGATTCCTGATTGAGTCTGCAGAGCTGAAGTGTCCTCGTGACTGAGTGCCAAGTCCACTACTCTCTCCTCAGCAGCTCAGCTTACCAGGTTTCAGGGGCAACAGCTCCCCACATTACTCTCCACATGCTTATGTCTAGATGTCCTTCCTCCCAAACCCGATACAGCAGGTGTTGACTAACAATTTCATGCCTTCCGATTTGACTTGAGGACAGAGAACTTTACTGTACACAACACCTCCAAGAGTGCTATGCACCCACAAGGTTTTCAATAAATACGTATTAAGTACAATCAGCGACCAATTTATGACCAAATAAAGAGTTCCTACAACCAAAACTTGATGCACATCCCACCTTTTCCTAAAAGGTTCTAGAAGGCCTCTCCTCATTTATTTTTAAAATGCAATTTATATTTATTACATGTCTATATGTGTCCACATAGGCACACAGGAACATATATGCCACTGTGTGTGTGTGTGTGTGTGTGTGTGTGTGTGTGTGTGTAGGTCGGAAGACTACTTTCAGGAAGGAGTCAGTTTTCTCTTTCCACCACGGGATGTAAGAGTCAAACTCAGGCACAATGCCTTTACCTTCTGAGCCACCTCACAGGCCCTTTCTTCCCTTTTATACATGACTTCTAGAGTTTTAGCATCTTTTCAGTGAAGTCATGTACCATAGATGAAGCTGACTGGTGAACACAAAGCCTGGAGCTTTTCCAAGAAAAGGCATTTAGTTGTTTCTAAGCAGAAAAGGCAGTTCAGTGGCTCAGTGGAGTCTCATCTATAATAGGAATATTAAGCCTCTGTGTGACTTTTGGGATGAAGTTTGCTGTTCTGAGATCGGGAAATTGCACATACAATGCCTATGATCCTCTAAGAACCTGTTTTCTAACTCATGCCATGAGTCTACTCATGACTTCTGTTCTCCACATTAATGACCTGTACAGAAGTAAATGTGACAGCTTCATTTGGCTTAATGAAATCCACTCCCAAGTGGGAACTACAACCACAGACGCAGGAATGTACATGTGTGACCAGATCTTGGAGTCTAGAGTCAAATCACAAGGAATCTCAAATTTTTCCAACTAGAGCTCACTGCTATCAGTCACAGCCGACTCTCAAGAGCACCAGCATCTTTGATGCAGACAGTTCCTGCACTGAGTACAGGCCACCTTAGCCACATGGGTGATTCTAGTCACTTGCCACAGCTGACAGAGTCAGGCAGTGACAGAAAGCCCTAGTGAGGAGCAGCTTTCTTTGCCCTTCCCAAAGGAGTCACTCATTGGTGCCCAAATCTTTCTCATAAACACATGGACATCGGTGGAACATCTAAGTCAAACTACACTCGTGGTGGGAAGGAGGCAGGGGCTACAGGCAGATATTATGAGAACAGCAGAAAGTCGGTGGCAGAACATCTTGGCACAGGGCAGTGCCTCACTGTCAGAGAACTGTGCTCCAACACTGAGCAGCTAGTGGAGGACAGACACCCTCCTAGACAGAGGGACATCACAAGGCATGGAGAGAGAACAGATGCTTACCTGTGGCACACTGGCATTCGTAGCCATTGGGGTGATCGATGCACTTGGCCCCATTCAGACATGGAGTGCTGGAGCAGTCATCGATGTCAATCTGGCACACGGGCCCTGTGAAACCTTGAAGAGGCACAGAGTTGACACTAAGTAGCCTCCCTTCCTTTACTGACAGGATGGCATCTACGGAAGGTGGATGCTCACTGGCAGAGTGTATGTCAGTGACACGAAGATGATGACTCTCTTAGGAAGGCTGACCTGAGCACCTGGGCAAACCTCAGGGTCAGAGCATCGATGTCTCCAACGCTGCCTCCTCAGAGAGCAGAGCTCATCTCCAGGGAAAGCAAGAAGGGCTGAAATGCTACAGAATACCTCAAACTAGGAACTGCATCCCCAGAGGTTAAGTGGTCTCTCTGAAAACAGAGAAGACACTGTCCACAGGAGATGGCTGGCATGCCTTCAACATCAGCATGAGGGAAAAAGGAGAGGCAGAGGACCTTGGGAAAAAACTGGTATGTGTTGTCTGCCTGGGCTAGTGGGATTTTAAAAAAAGTCTAAAAATAATAATCTCACACAGGGGATTCGGGAATATGACTCACAGATAAAAAATAAAATCATGAGCAGTCTATAATTCAGGCTTCTGTGAGGTGTGAACTCTGAAATATAGACACAGACAGAGAGGTCAGGGACCATTCAAGAACAGACTTGGACTTCAGGCCACAAATGACTTGGAAGACATACGGGCTAAAACAGTTCCCCACCTCTACACACACAAAGTCTCTCCCCAAGTACTCTAATGATTTCCTCATGCTCAGCCCACACACATTCACTCCCGCCCTTCCCCCTTCCTGTGGTCAGCTGGCTTGGTGCTTTGGAAGAACACAGGGGCAGGTGGCAGGCACTTACCAGGGGGACAGAGACACTGGAAGCGATTGACTTTGTCCACACACTGCCCATTGTTCACACAAGGGTTGCTCTGGCATTCATTCACCTCCAGCTCACAATGCACACCTTTGAAACCTGCACAAATGGACCACACATGTGGCTCAGACAGAAAAAAAGGGGTATTCCAGCCGGGAAGGCACAACCGTGCACAGGACTCCTATGCACATGAGCACTCCTACAAAGACAGAGGGACGCTGCTATGATGAGAACCGGTCCTTGCAATCAGGAGGACAGTGGACACTATGAGATCTCTGTCGCTGTGAAGAGCAGGAAAGATGTTATGCTATGGATGTGAAATAGTCCTCACAGGCTCATGTGTTTGAACCTGGTCCCCAGCTGGTGGTGCTGTTTTAGGAAGTTAGGAAAATTTCGGGACGTGGGCCCCTCTGGTAGAACATGAGTGGGCCTTTGAAGGTCATAGCTGAGCTCTGCTTCTTGTCCTGTCCTTCTTGCTTCCTGATCTACCAACATGCAAGGAGCTGCTGTCACACACTGCCATACACTCCCACTTCCTTGTTTCCCTCTGCCATATAGGCTTAATGCCCCATGAGCCAGAATACGCCTTAAATGGTTTCTGTCAGGTATTTTGTCACAGTGACATGAAAAGTGACTTAAAAAAAGGTTCATCTCCAGGACAACAGTGAGACTTACTAAGCAAAGAAAGACTCTGCATTCTGTGACCAAGTTCTAATTCCTGGAGAGTGCCAGGCCCAAACAGTCCTACTCTCTTCCTAAAGACCAACTTAACTGGTGCTGCTGGTGCACTGGGGGTGCAGATGGGGACCAGGATGACGTCCCAAGGCTAGAGCCCTGGGCATCCTTTATTCAGGCAGAGCAGCCAACTTCCGCTGTCACCTTGTCCTGGATTTGACTGTGTCCTCTGAGGATTTGAGGACACAGAAGAGCACCAGGACACAACTAAGCAAGTGTCTATAAGACTGAGCAGAAAGTCTAGTTCTATAAATGAAACAGGGTGGTGACCGGGACGTACAGAGCATCAGGGAAGCTTGCTGTACAGAGGATTCTAGTGGAAAATGGCATCTGAGATCTGTGACTCTCAAGTTTGGTGTGATGGGCTTGATTAATTTGGTCTGCTTTGCTCTAACACGTCTAAGAGGACCTTCCTCTGGAAGTTAAGGGGCTTGTGGAGAGTCCTGACTCAACAGTGATTGAGATCTCTGTGGTACATTGAGTGATGTATACTAGGGGCAGTGCAGGCCCGCCCCACCTCTCACAGCCTAACACCCATGTTTCCATTTACCCGGCATGCACAGACATGTGAAGCCTCCAATCTTATCCAGGCAGGTGGCATCATTCTGGCAGGGGTCTGAGTGGCACTCATTGATGTCCATCTCACAGCGAGGCCCTGCGTAGCCCTTCAGACATTCACAATGGAAGGCACCATCTGTGTTCACACACTTCCCTGCATGCTCACAAGGATTGCTGTTGGCTACAAAATAAAAGTACCAGTTACCAGGACCCAAGCACTTGTTAGCATTTCCAGAAACAAAGACAAACAGAAGACATTCTGACAATTATAAGACAAGGGCCAGGCTTTAAGTAAGTTCACTCAATTTTCAAGTCTATTCCTTACTTTATAGAGGGAGGGGAGGAAAAGGAGGGGAGAGGAGTGGAGGGAAGGACAAGGGGAAGGGAAG